CTGTGTGATTTATAAGTCTAGTTTTGGAGCCATTTTTGGACTTCCGCGTTGTTGAGGAACACTTTGGGGGTGTTGTTCAGTCTTCTTTAGGTAGACTGACTTCAGGACTTGATAAGTACATCACAGAGCCTATAAGGTCATCCGCGTTGTTTGAGGAACGCTTTGGGGAGGTGATTCTGTTAGCATATTGCCAAGAACTGTCAAGGAGAGTGACAAGAGATGCTGCATATGTGGTACAAGTCAGAGAACCGATGGTAGAATTCCAGCCAACAGTAAAAATATTAGTAAAATAAGGCAATATATTCTTATATGGAAATTTATATAGGTTATGGAAAAAAAAAATATTGCATATTTTTTTTTTGTTTAAGGGGAGGAGAGATGTAATGATGTTATAAATAGGGATAATGTCAGGGGATGATTGGCATAACTGGGGAAGTCCCTGAGAGCATGGGTTTCACGGAGATATGGTAAAACGACAGGAAAGAGTGTGTCACGTGTGAATGAGGAGATCTGGGGGATTGAGAATCAGGCGGGCATTCGGTGACTGGGCCCCAGAGAGAAAGGATGGAAAATGAAGCTGTGAAGATGAATGGAGAATGACTAGAGCATGTGGATCTGAATCGGCGAGGAATGAATGATCGAGAAGGTCAGCTATGATGGTACCCTGTTTGATTGTCAAAGCCAGCTGTGAATATGTCAACGTCTATTGTCCGAATGCTGTAAGTGGATTCACCTGTGATTTGTGTATTGAGCTAACGTGTAAATAAACTCGTGAAATGTGCCGCTGGTGTTAACCGTTGTTAGACGTTGTGTGACCGTGAAGAGGATCATGTCTGCTTTGATTGAGTTGTGAACCTCTAGACATTAGAGCCAGTGTTAACTCTGCACCACAGATAGCCAGTGTGGAGGAGACACAAAAGGGCAGTCATTACAGAGAGATTAGAGAAGATAAATAAGAGTAGAGAGAGACAGAGAAGAAGAATAATAGTTAAAGGATGAATAAGAAGATAAAAAATTCTCCTATGTGGAGAGTGTAGTAATAAGTCTACACCCCGGACGATCAAGTAATAGTCAGTGGAGGTATAAAAAAGAGAGTTGTTATATAGTATCAGTACAGGTAGAGCAGTTTAAAGACTACAACAACGGAATAGTGATACAACACCTATAAACAGACTAACGATGGAATAACAGAATAACCACTAACAATCATGTTTATGAAGGAACAGAATTATATAGTCGTATATCTCATTTACACAACAAAGATGACCTCAATACAAAAGAGGTAATACTAAGCTATAACCAGAGTGGACTCAGTTTCTGCTCACACTATAAAACCTCAGATAGTTCAACAGCCTATCGTTCATTGCAACTGACAGCAGAATATTATAGGGAAAACAAGAATAGACCCACTGCCTGCCCAAAAGCATGTCGTCTCTTCTTCTGCCTTTCTATCCCCTAATGGAGCATAGGCCCTCAACCAACTCACACCAAGTCGTTCTATCCTTCGCCATTATATGGAGCTCTCCCCATATTTCTAACTTCATTCTCCAGCTCTCTTCTCCATGTGTTTTTTGGCCTTCCTTTATTCCATGCCCCTGTAGGTCCCAATGCAAAGACATTCTAGTTATGCTGTTTTCTGTGTGTGTCCTGTCCAATGCCAGCGTCTTTTCCTCACCTCTTGGTCCACTGGAACCTGTTTAGTTCTCTCCCAAAGCTCTACATTAGTTATTCTATCATACCATTTAATTCTCTCTATTCTGCGCAGGCACCGGTTAATGAATGTCTGTAATTTATTAGTAATTGTCTTAGTTGTTCTCCATGTTTCCACCCCATACTGATTTGACATTAGAATTAAAACTTTTTAGTTTAGTATTTCTTTTAATTTCTTTTGACCTCTACAAATTCCCCAATGCTATGAAAGCTCCTCTTGCCTTTTGTATTTTTATTTTAATATTTTTATGAGTTCCTCAATCTTTATCTACATTACTGCCCAAATAGGTGTACGACTCCACGTCTTGGAGTGGGGTGCTATTAAGAGAAACCACATTACAATGTGCCTGATTTATTCTCATTATTCTCATTAAAAGCATGTCATAAGAGTCGACTAACTGGGAGCTTTCTTCGAAGTTGGAGTGCATCTGCCTGAGAGGCAAGGAACCAACAGTCTGCATTGTTAATATCCTCCAACAATTTTATCATGTCATCATGTTTCACTTTATCAAAAGCTTTGATGTAATCTACGAAGTACAAATATATGTCTTTCTGTTTCTCCATCGATCTCTCTACAAATGTTCGCAATGTGTATATTGCATTATTTGTACCTTCGCCTTCTTTAAAACCATACTGCTCTTGACTAATTTCCATTTTAATTTTCTTTCTTGTTCTTCTCATTATAATTTAGAGTAACAGTTTGGTGACCTGGTGAAATGGGTGAAAACACCTCTGCAGACAGCATATTTCTATTCTTTAAAAAAATTAATATAAATATTTAAATTCTTAACTTATTCTGGAGTTTTGTTTTGGTGAGCAAGGAGTATGGGTGAGCGAATGTCCTGGTGAGGTAATAATACTTTTCTCATGAGGGCTTTTGGTCAAACAGGAGAGTGCAATATCATTTGTAAGTCTGCCTTCATAAGGGTATTATTCACTATTTGTCACTTGTCACTCCAAAAACTCTTTCTTGGGATCACCCCTTTAGATATTCTTTCTTTATAGCAGCCAATATTTCTGAGCGTTTGTCAGCATGTTTCTAGATATGGAATTCTGCCTTTAGGCATAATTTTCCCACACTGATGACTGAATACAGTAAAGTAAATGAAGAACCCTTTTCAAGCCTATGGTACACTGAGAATATGTAGCTCAGCTCTGTTCTTTGCGTACGCTGATGTCACACCCAGGTTCGTCTTTAGTTTGCTACAGGAGGAGTCATTTGAAAGAGAATAGACGAGGTGAAAGATGGTCGTGTCGATAGTGGTGATGATGATGTTGTCTTGCTTGCTGTATATTTCTCACGTCTCTGATGCTTGACAAATAAAATGCTTGGAAACAACTGTTCTTTTCTATACTGTCTTTATTTTCATACCTCAATAATGTCACCAACAACATCAATGACTCTGAATGACGCTGTGTTCGCTCTATGGTTACATATTCGTAGGTCGCGTTGTGTTCTTTATCTCAAGTTACTTTGTTAACTGGTTCTAGTGTCTGTAACTGCCACCTGGCTTCTAGTACTTATACTAACGGCTTAATCATCGACTCAAAAGTGTTCATATCTAATGTGTCTCTCTTAACCATGGATCCATGTATCTTTTGTTTTGTCTCTGTATTTCGTTGTTTTGTTTCATGTCTGCTCTCTAGTGACTATCTTCGTTGCTCCATGTGACTGACTCCTCTCCCTGTTGAGCTGTCATCTCCACAAATTTAACGGTCCTTGAGACTAGTCCCTCATCCACTAAGTCTCAACGGCTGAAGGTTCTCTTTGAGAGTCAATGTTACTAGTCCCTCCACTTCCAAGTCTTGTAGACTGAAGGTCTTCTAAGTGGTTTTTCATTCATTATTTAAACTGAGGTGCTGGAATGTGTGGTATGTGTTTTGTACTCACTAACTGCTTTTAGAATATTCTTATATGCTAAAACTTGTTTACTATGTGTATTTTTACGTGAGATTTTCTAATTGCGTTTGGATTGCATCAGATAGTCTACACCAAAATATACTAATTGGATTGACAGGTGTCTTTCTATGACCTTCTAGAAAGTCAGTACGATAAGGCTCTTGTTCTTTGATATGGCACGTCAACGATTACATCAGATGTTATTTATATAACTAGGTTATTCATTTGCAAATGCCTCTCTGCACTTGATGGTTCTAGAAAGGAATGTCTAGATTGCTAAGATCTGTTGACTTCAGTCCCATCAACTAATATGCAATATACTACCTCCTGACAAACAAGTGATGATGTCTCCCTGTTATAAATATGGTGGTAGACTCATTTACCAGCCATTAGACACCTGCTGGGTGATGTAGTCAACATCATGCCAGCCACATTAACTGTCCAGAACATTACCTGGTGGCGCCCTCACTGGGTGGGTCAAAATCTGGCAGCCCAGGTCAAATGTAAAAAACCTTTTTTCGTCTCAGATTTGAACTTAACACTTTCAGGCAAGCCACTGTGCAAATAAGGACACCATAATAATTAAATCCGCCTATGGAATACAGGATTCAGATTGAAAAAAACAACACTGGCAGACTGCTAAATTGTTACATCTGTCACTGATTCTAGCAAACCAACTTAATTTTATGGTTCCAGTTCTATTTTTACAGAATAGAAAAAAAAAAAAAAAAGATATGTGTCAGAAATCTGGGAAAACTTTGTGCATGTGTTATGAATCTTTCACCTGTAAAAAATTAATTAAAAAAAACACACAACCAGCAGACTAAACTAGATTTTGTTCAGGCACATTTCAACAATTACAACCGCCACCTACAAAAACTATTTACAGCATGTATGATTCTGGTGTACATATATCTGGATCCTGGTTAGTTCTATAAAGTTTTTGTACTGTACTGAGATTATCCTTATGTGATCTATTTGAGGAGACTAGCAGTTATGTAAATATTATCTGTATGTAATAATCTTCAACTCTTTCAGTCCTAGACAGTGTTGAATTCAACAGTACCTATGCCTTTGTCCATAACAAAGTGTAGACACCAAAATGTTCACAAGACACAGCAATATAACATTAACAATACCTACACAGCTTAATTAGGTAACAAAGATCATCAGTGAAGATACCATCATTTAATCAAACAAAACAAAATAGGGTGTCATAAAATGCTCTTATTTAACTTCAAAGTTGAATGGCTTTTGTCCATGCTGCAATGTTGATTACACAAAGTTCACAAGAAACGTCAATACCTAGATATTTTTAACAACCAAAGATCACTAATGATGGATACCATCAGTTTATCAAACAAAATTAAACATTCATAAATTTATATTATTAATATTCAAAAAGTATTGCAGCTTTTGTCCACGTTGAAGCCTGCCTCATTTCTTGCCCATGTCTCAGAGCCATCAAAGCGGCTGAATGAAATGGAAATACAAAATGAAAGTTTTATACAGAGCCACTGAAGTTGAACAAGAGGAAAAAATATGAGTTTAGCAAAAGAGTCATCAAAGCAGTAAGATCAAAGGGAAATGCAAAAGTAAAGAATTATGTGAAGCCATCACAGCAGCTGAATGTAATATAGGAGTCAAATGTTATATGGGCCATCAAAACATCTGAACGAAAGAAAAATACAAGTCACCTCATGTACTCTTGATCCTCTGCTACCTTGCGGTGTCAAGGTAAAGTATATTAAATGGGGAAAGCGCCAGTTTGTGTGTTTCATAAATTTCGACTGCCAGAAGATCTGTAATTCCCTCTGTCCATTGTGTGCATGGCAAGCCTCTTCTTTGCTTCCTGCCTGGTCTATACATCATTGTGAACTGTAGTATCCTATCTGTTGACATCCGCATTATATGTCCAAACCACAAACTTGTGATTTATAATAAAATACAGAGATGCTGCTACTCCCATTTTCTTTTGGATTTAATCATTTCTGATCTGATCTCTTCTTGTTATACTGAGAACCCTTCGCAGGAATCTCAATTCAGTTGTAATTTTTATTTTCTGCTTCGAGCAGAGTGGCTAGCTTCACTGGAAAGGTCATGGGTGTTGAGCATACTTTGGATCTTTTCTCCAGGCCATGCCGGCGTGGTGGGTAATGAACAGGCAGACAAGACTGGCTGGATCCGCACCGCTGGGTGGTGAATTGATACATGACAAGGCAGATGTGGTCAAGGCCCTTTGAGAACAAGCAACGGAATCAGTAGAGAAAGAATATTATTATGGCCTGGAGAGAATGAGGCACCTGAGTGTAACCAGAGGAAAGGCAAGAAGGACTTTTAACCAGATTGTGACAGGTACCATCAGCATTGGAACTCTGCTCTGGCTGCTGAAGATGAGGACGGAGCATGCATGGGAATGCATCAAGTGCTGTGATATCAATTCTTGACTCATCTCAACTCAATTTCTCTTTTTCTGTCATTGTCCAGTTCTGGCACTGACAACACAGGGTTGGTAAGCAGATTGTGTTTTAGATTTTTTTTAGTTTTTAAAATACAAGAGTAATGTATTAAAACAACTTCAAGGGAGTTGAGGTGAGTTTCAAGAATCCTCAGAGTCTCAGGACATTCCTATAAGTGCTCCATTCCTGTTTTCAGCAGCCAGTGAAGAGTTCCAACTCCGATGCAGACTGACTGTGTGTCCATCTTGTCCTCCCTCTGAGTGTGGAGTGTCGGCAGGATCCCCTGGTCACTCCCCATGGCACCACTCACTTCAGAATGTGATAATCTAATTGTGCTAATAGCGGCATAAGCATTTATTAAATTTCCACTTATAAGCTGCCATGAGAAAGATAAATGATCTCAACATTTTGATTGCAGGTGCTGTACCATAGGTTCTTCATACTGTTTAATCTCTGCATTACTAAAGTAAGTTTTTTTTTTTTAAACCTAATTTGTTCACTGAAGTGGTTAGTTGCATATCCTTTACAGGACGTGTCAGAACCAACCCCAGCAGTCCCTGGCTGTTGTGTGGTTTCTCTAGCAAATTTACGTCTAGTAGTTTGCCATTGCTTTCTGGACGGTCGGCCCCCTGATACCACTGTCGAAAACAAAGCAAGGCGCATGGCCCACAGCTGGGATCGAACCCGGCACCCCGGCATTATGAAGTGTTCACATCGACTTAGCCACAGAGCCGACTAATTTGTTCACTACTGAGCCTAAATATTTAAAATCAATTATATTTTTGATTTTCATGATTAATTTTAAATTGTTGTTGGGGTGCTGTATTCACTGTGAACATTATATTTTCTGATCCTTTACTTCATGGAGTTTCATGTGCAGGGTGTTTTTAATATCCTTTCTCCACAGTCATGTCGTTCAACCAAGACAGTTAAAGTTGAAGTCGAGAGAACTGACTTCAGTGCACTGGGTTATCCTGTATTCCTTGGTCTCTCTCTGCAGAACAGCCATCCACCTACCAAGAGTGTTGAAAAAAGCAAACATTTCAGAGCTCCAGTGATGATCTCCACTAAACACTGGACTTGTGAACTTATCGACATGTCTGTGGAATGAACCTATGACCATCGGAGCATGAGGCAAATGGCTTGACCTCTTTACCAAGGAGACCCACCGTCTCCTTATCCAGAAAGCATGGCTTCGCTTACTGTTCTTCCTAGGTAATTGCTATGTTGAATATTTCCAAAATATTACAGTTTCTAGGACATGATGCTGTTTATGAGCCAGTTTTCTTCAATGTTTACATATTATTTAAGAGGTTTCCCCTTGTGTGATCTCAATACTATTGTCAAAACTAACGTGAAACATACTGATGCCAAATCTCTTGCAACCAGGAGTATTGAAGAGGGTATCTCAGAATTATGAAGCACATCTACAACATCTAAGCCCCAGGCACAAACCTGTAACATGTAAACTGTTAAAATCCATCAATGATGAGAAAAATAAACTTACCATATGAAATGCGTGTGTCTATGGGACTAACTTCACTCTGCTCCAGCAATGTCATCAGCCAGTTAAATATCTGCAGTTATGAAAAACAGTTATGACAAAAAAATAAAGCTAATTTTACAAGTCATCAAAGAACAAAAAATTAAGTGGTTTGGACACCTAACAAGAATGCCCTGGCACTATCTGCCACAGCCAGCCACACTAAAATGTTACAACCTGTATAGAGCGAGTAGAAGACCTCGGAAAACATGGAGTGATGGCATTTAGAACAGCCTTACAGAAATTAACATCAGTCTTAATAGTTATCTTGACAGAGCTCTTTAACGAATGTTAGATCTCCTCCTGACATTTCGATGAGGTACAAGGTGAAAGAGGAGAAGAAGAAGAAGAAGAAGAAGAAGAATGAAAAACATACAAAAATGCAGCTTTCAGGTAACAAGCAAACAAATTCTTCTGTGGATGACAGTATAAGCTTATATAAGCTTAAATCTACAAAGCTACCATTTTATAGACTTTGCTCTGCAATAAAGTCATTTTACATTCTTGCCCTTGTAATGTGGCCATTATAGATCCAACTCTTCAATGTAAGCTTTTATATATGTCTAGTATATTTAGCTGATTATAGATTTGTCAGGTATTACCAACTTTAGCTTAAGCTCTTTTCTCTCTTGAGTTGGGTTAACAACCAACATTACAGCACCCAGGACATTCCTGTAGCTGCTCGATCCTTATCTTCAGCAGTCAGTGTGGAGTTACAATTTTGAAGATACCAGTAGTCTGTATATCAGTCTTGCCTTTTCTCTGAGCATTGAGCGTCGGCCAGATCCCATGGTCACTCCCTGCTGCACCATTCTCTTCAGACTGTATGATCTATTTGCACTTCAGAACTGTTTATGTGCTCCCAAAGACAGCTTGTCATGCATCAATTCACCACCAGGTGGTGCCAAACCAGCCAGTCTGTGAGCAAAAGAGAGTCAGGAGAGAGAAAAGAAGAGATGGAGAGTATGAGCGAGTTAGAGATGAAGAGAGAGAGAGAGAGAGACAAGGGAGAAAAAAGAGAGATGTAGAGAGAGAATAAGGGAGAAGAGAGTGTAGAAAAAAATGATTACACACAGACACATACTTTTAGGGCAGAAGCACATAAAACAAAATTATCAGAAACAAAAAGAGTTGAGTTAAAGTAGGACAAAACTCAGGTGCTAGAACAAGACCAAAGTCCACAAGGGAAGAAACAACTAGAACTTTCCGCTGGAGTTTACAGCTGGTGAACAATGGAAAGAAGAAGTTTGTTCAGCAAACCTTTGGTAAGACAACATCCCATGGCTTTCTGAAAAGGATGTCCACTGCTACAGGAAGGTACTTGGCCATGTCTGCGTACAGCATCTGCAGACTGGGCACCGCTAGATAGCTTGTATCAAGAGGACTGTCTGGTCTGCTCACAAACACATGAGAATGGAGTCCCCAGAAGTCAAGCTCAGCATTGGCAGGGAAGGTGAGGGTCAAAATGGCACATGTGACCACATTGATGGCATAACTGATTATCTAGGAAAAGTACAAAAATCAATCAATCAATACAGTTAATAATAAATAAATAAATACATTTCTTTGTCTACAATAAAGAAGCCGTTTTACAACTGATTACCCAAGAAAGGCGTAGTAAATAGTAGTGCGGGAGCATTCCACAGTCCCAAAAGGAAGTGCTGTGTGGATCGATGGGAGTCGGCTACTTATGAGTATGTCTTTAAGGTTGCGGTCTTGTCTATATACCAATCTCAGCTTCTCACTGAAGATCATCTTGGTGTCCAGAACAGAGCGAAGGATGTCCAAACAGTGAAAGAATATTTTGAATCATTATCATTTTAACAGATATGTTAAAATAAAAACTTTAAGCAGTTCAACTTTCAAAGCAGTTATAACTGAGGTAACAGAGATTGTGTGGGTAAGGATCAGGATATAACACATACTTGGGAGATAATGAGATAAAGTGATTCCTATATGCGACTGAAAGAGCTGAACAATTTCAACATTGATAAAGCTAGAGTAAGAAACAGGAAGGAAAGTAATGGCAAACTTCCTTTTTCAAGATGCCAAGAATAGTCTTGATTTCACAAGTAACAAATCTTCAGAAAAAAAATTTACACTAGGCACAGATGTGGTTTTTGAGAAGAAGGCAAAGATTATCATGGAGGAATAGAAGACAAACGAAGCAGTCCTCATTGAGACAAATGAAAATCCCAACTTTAGAACAATTAGACAGACAGTTAGTGTTTTTGGATATCTTACGAGAAGAAATGGACTCAAGAATGTGGTAACAACTGGTAAGATTGATAGAAAGAGAGCTACAGGGAGGCAATAAGATTAATATTTGAATGATTTGGCAGATGATGATGATGAAACATGACCACAAGAAAGGAATATAAACACAGTCTAGATCTCCTACCTTAGTTTTAGCTGCAGCAGTTGGTGCCAAAGGCATGGCTCCAGTAACCAGACTGTGTGTGTGTCCCAGTAGCTCCAGGAGCCACTGCTGGCGCACCTGAAGTTCAGATTGTTCCCCCTCAGCCTTGGAAAAACTTGCCAGACAGTGGGCCAGGAGCCACATGCTAATATCATGTTTCCTATACAGAAGGTAGAGATAAAGATTTTGTCAGAGAGTATTGCAGGGATAGGTGCTACTGTAATAATATGCCCTGCCAACAATAGCATCTCTTAGCTGCCTGTATTTTATAAGTTATCAAATTAACTATCACAACCCACCTTTAGAAATGAACTCTGAGCAAATTTAGAATCAACAAATCCACATATTGTAAAAGTCATCAGTAACAAATCCACATATTGTAAAAGTCATCAGTAACAAATCCACATATTGTAAAAGTCATCAGAAACTTGTTGGAAATTGCTAGCTTGCATGCATACATGCTAAGCATGCAGGCACACCCGCGTAAATATGTTCTTATTCTTCTGCTCTACATCCCCGAATGGAGTAAAAAATAAAGTAAAGGCCCCCTTTTTTTTTATCCCTTTAGGCATATAGGGCATATAGGGCTAGACCTATATTTTTCTAAACTAATTAGCACAAGATGGGTGATGTGGTCAGCATCATGTCGGCCGCCTTTACTTCCATGGACTGCACTCGGTACCCGCTCAAGGCTGGGTCGACGTGGGAGTCACGGTCATTTTTTGAAAAATAAAAAGTCCGGCTCCGCCAAGGGCGAACCCGTGACCTTCTGATCCTCATGCGAGTGTCTAGCCGCTATGCCATGACGACTCTCCCCGAATGGAGTACACACCCTCAATCAATTCTATGCCCAGCCTTTTTATCCTTTGCTATCTCAAGCCACATTCTCCCCAGCTTATTCACTTCTGTTTCTAATTCTATTCTTCACGTGCATTTGGGTCTCCTCTTATGTCTTTAGCTTTCAGTTAGTCAATCAATCAATCAACCAATCATTCAATCAACCAATCATAAGCTGTCTCAACAATGAAGGCTGGCATCAAAGGATCTCCAAAATGCCATCTTTCAATTTGGATGTAAACTCTATCACTCTTTTCAAATTAGGAAGAATTTGGAAGCAACAGAGTTTTGGTTTCTGAGACAAATGTTATGAATATCTTGGATGGCCAGAGTAACTAACATTGATTGCCTGAAAGAAGCTAATGAAAGTAGATCTCTTTATACAACAAGAGACAAACACTGTTCTTTGGTCACATAATGAGAAGAGAGACATTGGAGAAGATCAGTGGAAAAAGGGTGTAGAGGCAGACCAAGAGAGACGATGCTGGATGGGCTGAAACGATGGCATGGAGGGATATTATTAAGAGAGCTGTTCTAGGCAAACAGGGATTGTGATCTGTGGAGACGCATTTGCACCTAGGCCAGTTGGCAGGGCACATGATGATGATGACTCTATCAGACTGCTATATGTCCATCTATAGATGATTTCCACCTCCTTGTACCTTCTTCTTCTTTGGGTTCATTGGTTATAAACTCCGGCGGAAAGTTTTAGTTGCTCCAGAACTTGAGTGTCGCGTGCCCATCTGTTTTACAGATCTAGCATATTTGAATGCAGACTGTTGGTACCTTGGTCTCAAGCAGATGCACTATGACTGTGAAGGAAGCCTTCACTTAGTCTACTATTATGACCAACTTGTTGGGGAAGAAGCTGGTCTGTCCTTGTTTTCCCCACAATGGGGCCCCGGGACCTACAATAAGACCCTTTGTAATGATCTCTGCCTTGTTCTCGTTTACATTAATCCTTTCCCTCTAGTATGGTTTTATGTTTTAATCTGGCTGAAATATTTCACCCAAATATATATATATATATATATATATATATATATATATATATATATATATATATAATATATATATATATATATATATATATATATATATATATATATATATATATATATATATATATGTTTTTTAAAAAATTTTCCTTCAGCAGCTTTCTTTATAATTATAGTCTCTTAAAACATAATGAGTAATTATGGCAAATGTGCTTTCATATGATACTTTTTACAGCAAAACATCTGAGAGGAAGGCGAGAGGAAGACCGGGAAAGAGATAGATAAATGGTTTAGCAGAAACCTGCAAAACAGATTAATACATTTATCACCCAAGAAAAGTAAGACAAATACAGAAAACCACGACACAGGGCTACAACCTGGTATCAGTGAGATGACAAACGAAGAAGAAGATAGCAAATTTGCTTTCATAAACTTAATGATTAAAATAAAGTCTCTTTAGCCTTATATTTGTACAAATTGCTATAAGTGTGAGGAAATGTAAAACAAGACAGTACCAATAATCTGTGTTGAAGGACGCATCTATCATGTAGTTGAGTAGTGATAGTGGTTGTCTCCCAGTTGCTACCAGGTGGCAGCGCACAAATGACCCTTTGACTTGTGTTGAAGCATCCGCAAAATCTGCTACAATGATAGAATCCATGACATCATCAGGAACTTGTGCCAGACATTCAGCCATTGAGTGAAGGAGGGGAACCTGAAGGTATAATTTGTAACTGAAACTTATTCTAAAACAACATTGTTTACACACAAGTAAAACAAAATAATATTTGTTATGAGTTTCCAAACAAAATTCAAATGAGGATCCTTACTGACAGAACAAGAAGATTACAAAGCAAAATATACTGATACATTTGCTTAAAAAGTAAAATATACTAATCTCTCTCTCTTTGTCTATCTATCTTTTGCATATATACATATATATGTATGTATGTATGTATGTATGTATGTATGTATGTATGTGTGTGTGTGCACGTACACACGTATGTATTATGTACGTTTGTGTATGTGTGTGGTGTGGTGTGGTGTGTGTGTGTGTTCGTAGGTAGGTAGGTACGTACATACGTGCGTGCGTGTGTGCGTGCGTGCGTGTGTGCGTGCGTGCGTGCATGTGTGCGTGTGTGTGTGTGTGTGTGTGTATGTATGTATGTATGTATGTATGTATGTATGGCTGAGGAGTGCATGAATTGGTGGACACATGTGTGTGTGTTATCATCCATGCCTTTTTCTTCTTGATATTCATAATATGCATTTTGTTATATGAACATATCATGCTTTATTGATAAAATACAACTGCTCTGTGAAAGATGGGCGTTTGGAAGGGCCGAATATAAGAAGGCTTGTGTGCCCAATTTGTGACCGTTTGAAAAAAAAAGTCTGCTCGTTCATTCATTTGTTCAAAGTCATCATGAGTTACAATAGTTCAACCATAAAACAAATAACAATTTTTACACTGAAGTCATTATGCGTTACAATAGTTCAACGATAAAACAACGATAATGTGAAAGTTTCATCGGAATGGGGTCTGAACCGTGCAATGGAGTACATGCACGTGAGTTCAGACTTCCCTCAGGGTGTATTCAACGTCCGATGGCGACTATCTACCAATTCAAAACAACCCGTAGACGGACAAGGAGAACGCAAACAGGCAAGCACGGTGGCGCCTGCAGGAAGCGACTGAAATGTGAGAGACTCAGCTTAAAGTATGTTCGCGTGCTCTACTGGAACTGCGCCTCGTTCTGTCAACGCCGACCCATTTTCGAGAAGCTCCTCTACAGCAACGACATTGTTGTCCTACAGGAAACACACCTCGGTGACGAGATGGTTAAAATTGCGGGCTTCCAATCCTTCTACAATAGACGGCACCTCGGACAGCTCATTCTTGTTCGTGACCACATACTGGTGTCTGAGGTGGACATGTCTGAGTGGGATAATGACGACCTACAAGTACACGCAGTCAGAGTGATGGGCCCGGCCCAGTTTGTGATTGTCAATGTGTACGCCTGCAATGGAAAGGTGGATACAGCGAAATGGCAGAGTTTGCTCCAGACTGAGGAAAAGAAAGTCCTTTACTGCGGAGATTTCAACGCCAGAGGAAACCAGTGGGGCAATGTAATCACCAATAAACAGGGGGAAGACCTGGAGGATGCTCTAGTGTCTGCCGATCTAGTATGCTTGAACGACGGAAAGGTTACCCGAATGGCAACCCGACAAGGGGATTCTGACAGCGTAATTGACCTGGCCCTAGTGTCTCCCTCCATTGCACCAGGATGCAGGTGGAGCACACTGGGATACCATGACAGTGATCACTTTCCTTGCGTCGTCTTGGTGGAGAAGAGCAACAACAAAGGTCATGTAATCAATGTGCCTGCTTTTATATATGACCGTACAGGGCAAGATGCCATTAGCAAAATCAGACGACGTAATACAAGAGCAGATCGCAGACGGCGGGAGAGATGGGCCCAGCCACCATGGTGGAATGAAGCAGTCAACATAGCGTGGCTAGAAAAAAAGGAACGCTGTCAAGGCATGGCAAAAGGCAAGGAAAATTGATCCGTCACTTTCTGAACGCCTGATCAGTCTGAAAGATGAGGTCAACAAGCGGACAGTGGCTTTCAAGTTAATTGCGAAAGAAGCCAAGACAGCGAAATGGAACGAATTCTGCAAGAGCGTTTGCTCCGAGGGATCTCTTGTGACATTCTGGCGCCTTCAACGGAGCATGCACGGCGCCGCACGACCAAGGGGTATCCCTGATTTTCAGGGTACAGACCTGATATGGCAGAGAACTGATGCTGATAAAGGAAAAAACCCCCTTCTTGCGCGCTACTTGGAGCAAACTGACCAAAAAGACGAAGCTGCAAGAATAGGGGTTAAGATGAAACTGTCGATGCTGTGCGAGAACACTGAGCTAGACACTGATTTCACAATCACTGCAGACACCTTAAGAACTTGCCTCAAGAAATCGCGCAGCACTGCTCCAGGCCCTGACGGCATCCGATACAATGACATGCTGATGATGTCGAATGCTGATTTGAAAAGCGTGGCAAAGAAATTCAATATCAGCATCCAGAGTGGCCAGATACAAGAGGAATGGCTCCATAGTTATTTGTTTCCACTACCAAAGCCTAATAAAGACCACTCAAAGATCTGCGGCTACAGAATCATCTCGATGCAGAATACTGTTGGCAAACTTTTGGAAAAAATTGTCGCACAAAGATTGACCACCTACTTAGAACTACATGATAAGTTCCCATCAACACTTGGAGGGTACAGATTGAAGAAAGAGACATGGTCCAATGCTGCTGTTTTCGCGCCTACGATGTGTACGAGGGATTTCAGATTAAAGAAGAGACATGTGCGGCAGTGTTGGACTTAGAAGATGCCTACAATAAAGTACCATATGATTATTTAATGCAATTACTGCTTAAACTAGAAGTCAATCCTATTCTGATCCGCTGGATTGCTGCGGTCCTGTTCCAGAGAAAGATTGCACTAAGATGTGGTAGCTGGTCCTCAGAACCGCAAACGATATGTCCAGGCTTGCCACAAGGATCACCGCTATCACCAGTCTTATTCAACGTTTATACGGTGATGATCACTGAGCAGCAGTTGAATGGAAAGGGAAGGACTTTGTCATTTGCTGATGACATTTTGATTTATCGACGAGGGCGTGATAGACAGGAGATCGCCAGCACAATGCACAAAGAACTCGATCAAATTGCCGCCTGGTGTGATGGTTCCAATGCCTATGTCAATCCCTCGAAGGCAGCAGTGTCATGGTTCTCTTTGAACAATCACATTGTCAAGTCGGACTTACCAGAAGTGAAAATGCGTGATAATGTATTGATCAGAACCAACGTTATGACGTTTCTCGGGGTGAGGTTTGATCGCAGCTTGTCATTCAGGGAACACGTTGACCATGCGATAACAAAAGCACGCAAAGGTCTATCTGCAATGAGGATTATGGCTGCTTCCAATATCGAGCAAAGACTGCTGGTGCTTCTATTCTACGGTCTGGTCCTTTCCCCCATTGAATACGCTCTGGCCATCCTCACTGTCAGTGCTACCCAGATTGAACGACTCGAGAAGGTGCAAAATGAAGCCATGCGTATTATTTTGGGATGTACAAGAGACACATCCTGTGGAGCAATGAGGTATCTACTTGACTTTCCAACAATGAACCAAAGGATCAGAATGTGGAGGGCTCGGGCATACCTCAAAATATGTGCTGATAAGAAACACCCACTGCATCAAGCGCTTTTTAGTGAAAAGGGCGACAGACTGAAGAGGGGAAAATCGTGGCTAGGTCGGGCAGAAGATGTTATTAGGCAAATATGCAGCCTAACCGACATCATACCTGGTGCAGAATGGATACCTGTGCCTCAGGCGTTTATTTGTACATTTTCCTGTATTGTCACACTCAACAGGCGATGTAGAGAAGAGAATCCTGTTGCTGTTAATGCAGAGGTCAACGCTCTCATCGGTGAAAATTCAGACGAAGCAGATGCACTAATCTATACAGACGGATCCGTTATACGCCAAAGAAGAAGCGCATGGGCATTTACAGCACGCTCAGCGGGCAGAACAGTCAAAGAAGCCAACGGCGCCTTCTCCATGACAACCAGCAGCATGACGATGGAGGTGATGGCAGTGACGCAAGCGTTTGCCTGGCTTGAAACACAAAAATACACCCGCATATGTATACTCAGTGATTCAATGAGTATGATCCGGAGGGTTCAGGCAGGTTCAGTGCGAAGACAATGGCTTGAATCAATTCAGAAGTCTACTGTGCGAGGAGTCACCTTTATTTTTGTTCCGGGACACGCAGGCGTCGATGGAAATGAAAGAGCTGACAGGCTGGCTGGATCCGCTATCACTACCGACGGTCGGCCTATGGATCATGCTGATATTATCAATGCCCTCAGAGAAATGGGAAGGATAGAGGACTTTGGTGGCAGTGAATCCACATCACTCGCCAGAATGGCAGACTTGGGAATTAAGATCGGCACAGCAAAAAACGAGACGCACACCGGACACGTCAGAAGATTTGTTAATCAACATAGAACTGGTACTATTAGCCATCGGACGTTGGGATTCATACTGAGGGGAGGATCTGAGCACCTATGGACATGTCCGGAGTGCAATGATGATAACCCAACTAACTAACTAACTAACTAACTAACTAACTAACGATAAAACAAATACCATTCTTATACTGAAGTAACTGTGAGCTACATAAGTCAGGCTACAAAACAAATACCATTCTTACACTAAAGTCATCATGAGTTACATTAGTCAAACTACAAAAGAAATGCCATTCTCACATTGAAGTCAACATGGGTTACATTAATCAGACTATAAAACAAATACCATTCTTACATTGAAGTCATCAGTTAACACATGATACAACTGCTTGGTTATCTCCAACAGCAACAGAGTTACTCCAGCTGGTGGGTCATCAACAGCCAAGGCAGCACACAGACCTTGTAGAATAGACAGCTGCACAGTAGTATCCCTTCCCTGGGTGAAGGCTGGCAGACAACTGTGCTCCAGGTATGACTTTACAACAGAAGGTGTTGTAGTCCTGATGATATCTGGCATGCTCTGGTGTAGCACCACTTGGGTGTCTCTCTAAGTGATGGAAGTTAGAAGTAGCAGTAAGATTACAAACAGAGCTAACATGTGTGAATCTAAAAATTAACTTTATCAAGATAATTCAGTCATTGTCCTGTTGTGATATGATATGTTACATAGGGCTCACACACTATATCCATTCAGCTCTATTCTGAGTAGTCACTTCAAAATCATGGATGGAATCCGGTACAGCTACTCTGACATCTCTCATCAACATCTGCCCTAGGGTTTCTCTTGGACACCCTTGTTTAATCAATCACTCTACTCAACATTCAGCTTTAGTAAAAAGTAAAGTAAAGTAAAGATCCCTTTTCACGCCTTTCGGCGCATCGGGCATATGGGCAGAGCGTCCCATATTTTACAGACCATCAGCACTGTGTGGGTAATTACGCCGGCTGTCTTTACTTTCCCAGGAGAGCCCACCCTGGTATTCAGCTTTAACATAGAACAAATACATTGACTGACTACTGTTATATATAATAGATCAGTTTATCTGACTAAGACAATACATAGCATAGTTTTGCTGTCAGCTTCTGTATTCACAAATAGGATGCATGTGGAAGTTAGCTAAACTGCTGGGGTGTGTGTCTCCCATGGCCATCATTATATAAACCTATTTAACCTATTCACCCCAGGAGTGCTTAAACATAACAACAACAACAACGAAAAAGTCACAAACCCATGGTATTTGAACGAGACCAGCGGGGGATCACCTAGCCCCTATTCCAGCCCAACTACCTGTGACTAAACATAATGTTCTTGAAACAAGGTATTGATTTTCTTTACATTCCAGGTACAAGGAGTAACAAGAAAGAAGGAAGACAGAACATAACCATGTAAGAAATTACCTGCAAAGAAGTGAAAAGTGGGGGAGTTAACCAAGACGACATAAACATGGTAGCACTTGGTGATGATGCCATCTGGGAGGCTGCAATCTGAAGACTTAAAGCCTTTACTTTCTCCCCTGTTGAGAAGATATATTTAACATGATTTACAATGTAGAATTAATACATCAGCAACCAAGTCGCCCATTGGCTAGGCGGTAGATGACATTGTCGTCGGTCGAGACAGTTTTTTTGGTCTGTCTCCTTTGATCACATAAACACTGCAAGAGTTCTTTTCACAGCTACTTGGTGGTGTGCACTGCTAAGCCATTTTATATGGCGCAAATAACCTAAGCCCCAATTATAACCTAAAGTTCCCCCTTCAGGGATGCTGGCTGAACGTGAAGATTTTATTATTTTTTTTGAGCAAAACAACAGAATGAAGAATTAATATCACTGGATGTAAGCTAATCAGACATGATCTTTCCCTGCTATGATGGCATAATGGTCAGTGTATTTGCTTGCCACAACTTCTTCTTTTGTCCTACTGCTTATGCCACAAAGTGTCATAAAGATGAGTTAGATGCAGTTTCCTGCCTTCTGCTAGTTGTTTAGCTTGTGTTAATGATATTCTGCATTTCTGAAGTCTCTCTCTTACTCTTTCCATCTATCTCTTTCTTAGATGGCCTCTTGACTTGTAGCCTGCTATTCACATGTAGTACATACACTCCAGCTGATTTTTTTCCCACATAGATAAACCATTTGATTCTTTGATGTTCTATGACATCATTTACAGGTACTGTGCTTACGGCTGTTCTTAGTTCTTTGTTGATGACCCTGTTCTTGTTTTTCCTGCCACATTTCTTATACATCTCATCTCATGTGTTGTAATTTTGCTTTTTTGTTTTTCTGGGACTGTCCATGTCTGGCACTGACAGCACAACATTGGTAAGAATAACATATTCATCAGCTGCTTTTTTTTATGCATGGTGATATTTTGATGCCTCAAGAAAGGGAACCAAATGTCCTGGCTACCTAATATGCTGCGGCCTAGACCAGCATGAACACTCTAACAAAAATAAAAAAATTAAAATTAAAATAAAGAGGGAGATTTATAATTTTGTGACATCAGATTGGACAGATAAACTGTTATCTAAACTTGGTTGAGTGTTGTTAGTTGTCATGTTTATTACTATATCTGTCATTCCCATGTGGGATGCAATTTGTTGTTGCTATTTGAAGCCCCACCCTGGTTTCTGCCAGGGGCCCTGAATATAACCGGGGCATAGATATGGCCTAGCCATAGATGTGGCTTAACGGCTGAAATTGATTTCTGGGACCTCTCCACGGGTGATCCTCATCCGCATGGTGGCACTCTGTGTCACCAGATGTTTATCGCTTGTGTAATGTCCTGGTGGGGTACAACCATATTCCTACCTAGTTGTCATGTGGATCGCAAAACAATTTTTACAGTCTTGGTGGGCCACGGGTGTCAAAGGGTTGAGGAACATGGCCTTGACTGTGTGAAGGTCTAATAATACTTCACATCACCTTGGCAGCTTCCATCAAGGTTCTACCTTTATCTCTCCCAGCAAAAGTTGAAGAGTATGGATGTGAATGTCCCTGTTAAATTATGGTCAGCTAGCTACACATTATAACTGTCCTAGCTTGTATTGGCTGTGACCAGTTCCATACTGGATTGTCTACGTAATCAAGAGCTGAGTTCAGTTGAGTCAAGAATTGACATCACAGCACTCGGGGCATTCCCATGTGTGCTCAGTCCTCATCTTCAGCAGCCAGTGCAGAGTTCCAATGCTGATGGTACCAATCACAATCTGGTTATATGTCCGTCTTGCCTTTCCTCTGAGTGTAGTGAGCCGGAAGAGCCTTCAGTTACATCCAGGTGCCTCATTCTCTATAGGCCATAATAATCTTGTTTCTCTACTGATTCCGTTGTTTGTTCCCAAAGGGCCTTGACCACATCTGCCTTGTCATGTATCAATTCACCACCCAGGGATGCAGATCTAGCCAGTCTGTCTGCTTGTTCATCACCAATCAAGAAGATTTATCAATGAAGTTGCAACTATGACCAACTAAGTAATTAATGTCAATTGCATACCCCCCCCCCCTCTTTCCGTTGTAGATAGACCATTTATTTTCCACGAGAAAGGGGGATCAAACAAACACTTTTACTTCCTGCATGTGTTCCTGTCAACAGCTTGTAGATTAAATTTAAGAATCAGGATAAGGACACCTTGGTTACACCCAGAAGTTGCGGAGAACTGAGTTAAGAAGCAATATCACAGCCCTCTGAACATTCCCATAAGTGTTAAGTCCCATCTTCAGCAGCCAGTTATAATTCCAATGGTATCAGTATAAATCTGATTGTGTCTTGCTTTCCTATTAGTGCGGAATATGGACCAGATCCCTTTGTCATTTCCTGCCGTTCTTTACCGACCCCGTCATTCTTTCTTTACAGACCCCGCCATTCTTTCTTTACAGACTCCGCCATTCTTTCTTTCTAGATCCTGATGATTTATTCGTGCTTCTACACTGTTTACTCATTCCCAAATGGCCTTTGTTACACCTAACCTGTCGTGCAGAATGTACAGAACCAGCCAATCTTCTATGTGGTCATTTCCCAACACACCTGTATATCTCTAGAGAATATCCAAAGAACTACCCATGATGTTTGAAGTTATGCTTGCCCCTCTGCACAGAACATGCCCTTCTCCACCTTTTTCAGCATACTGTGTGAATCTTTTACAAAACAACATGTGTGTGCAGCTGGTTTGCAAGCCTGTGGAAAGCTGTAGTGACTGCTTCCACCTGCATAGCAATATCAGATGATGCTTCTGACCTAAAATATCATAAAGTACAACAACAACAATAATAAAAATAATAATTCCGATAGTATACAGGCTGCAGATAATAATAATAAATAAAATATAATAAATCTAGATGTAGCAGAAATGACAATCTTTATGGCTGTTATCAAACACTAACTAAACTAGTAAATTATGTATTCTGTTTCTAGAATGGTGCTGCGAGGAGCTACCAGGGGATATAGCTGATGCTCAACACTCAGGGGAAGGATGAGACGGATATACAATCAGACGGTTATTGGTACCGTCAGAATTGGAACTCTTCGCTTGCTGCTGAAGATGGGGACTGAGCACTTATGAGAGTGTTCCGAGTTCTGTGATGTCGATTCTCAATTCAACATATCAAGTTAAAAACAAAAGACTAACAAATAAATTAAATTTGGAGTTGAAAAATATTTAAAAAGTGCAGATTGAAATGCAGATCATCCAATTATGAGACTGTCAAACTGATAATTTTAAAAAGTTCTAAGTTTCTTGAGCACTGTTTGAGACTGAAAGAGTGAATGTTTTGATTTAACAGAAAAACAAAACAAAAACATACCAAAATTGACTCTCATAAATGGAGACAGAAGTGCAGTCCAATTAAGAGGAGGTAGTACTGCCTTGAGCTTCAGTGACTCCAGAGCAGCAACAACACTTCTAGGATCTACTGATTCTGGGCCTGTTATTGAGCATACATAGATTCAAATGTTACATGAAGGTATTAATTCTTTCACAGGTTTATGTGCCACTGTTGCTTCTATAAAAAATAAACTGCAATTTTAGTGCTGGCACCTCTGGCAGCTGCCTTATGCATTTAATGTGCAGGCTGTTGGCTTGGCCAGGAGTGTAATATTTTCAGCTTTTCACATGGGAGAATGACGTACAATATGTGTGGTTTTCGCTGACACAGGAATAAAGAAACTGTGGGGGTGACCCATTTGCAGTTAAGTTGGATCTGGCCAGGCTAACTAATAACTAATTCTTCTTCCTCTTCTCTTCTTCTGCCCTTCATCCCCCAATGGAGAATAGACCCTCAACCAACTCACGCCAAGACATTCTATCCCTTGGTTTCACATAGAGCTCATCCCACGTCTTCCCCATCTTTTTTAGCTTCACCCTCTGGTTCCCTTCCCCATGTGTTTTTTTGGGCCTGCCTTTATATCGGTGCCCTTGTAGGTTCCAGCATAAAGCTCTTCTAGTTAACTAATTCTTCTAAAAGAATTACAATTATCAGATGTCTCAGACAACACTCTTCAAATTAACTGTTAAAACTGTCTGACATCTGAGTTATAAGCAGTGACTGATAATATTCAAGTATTATCATCATCATACTGGAGAATATTTAGTACTGTCTGACATCCTGCCTTTTGTTGTTGTTGTTGTTGTTACTGAGGACACAATCACTCAATATCCCACCACGCCCCTTATCTGTCTACCTGTCTTCTCCACTGTCAGATATCTAAAGCAGACACTAATCAAGACTCATCGTTGTCACCTGACATTTTGATTAAGTTACTTATTAGCCATTATTAATAAACAACATAATTTGTGACAAGAACACAGTTTGATTATATGTCCTTCTTGCCTTTCCTTTAAGTATAAAGTGCTGACCAGATTCCCTGGTTACTCCCAGCTGCATCATTCTCTATAGACTACACTGATTATTCATGCCTTTGCATTGTTCACTTTCTCCCAAAGGACCCTGAACACATCTAGTTTGTCACACATCACTTCACTATCTAGTGGTGCAAAACCAGCGAATCTGTCTCCTTATTAATTTCCCAGCACACCTCCATACCCAGATACATTTTCCAAAGGTCGCTAACTATACAGACCTCTGAAGCAATGCTCCCCACTCTCAAGGAGCATGCATGTCCCTACCAGCATGCTTTGTGGGTCAGTTACAATCCCAACTTTTGTACACAGCTGGTTCTTAAGCCAGCAGAAAGCTGATGTGACTGCCTCCACCTACATTCTCAACTAGATGTTGTAACATCTTAAAGTAAACGAACATTTCTTTTGAATGTTGACACAAACATAACAATGACACTCACCGAGTCTCCCAGCCTCTAGCAGAAAATCTATGACAGCTCTCAGGATGCTAGACTCAGGCAAGTGGGAATAGTTGGCTGGAACTGAATACATGCATAAATTAACAACACATTACAGAAATAGGCAAATATTAGAATATGTTTTTAACCCACTGGCTACCAAGCCTGTTAAACCTTGCAATTTCCCAGATACCACGTATTTTAGTGCATTAAAAAAATGTCATAGTTTCACAACTATCTAACATGCACTTATCATATTTTGTACTTTTGCACCAAATTGAATGGATAATAAACATCAAGACAAAAAATAGGTTTATTTTGTTTGACATCATCATCATGTGGCTGTAGATATGGGTAGATATGGTGCAAAAAAAAAAAAGCAACAGAAAATCTTTTCTTTGACAGCAATTTGAAAAATAAACTTCATGACATATTTAATGTGGGATTGTGTTGTTTTATAAATTTTGAAAATATTGTGCAACAAAAAATAAACACTTATGCCACTCAAATTTATCAAATTGTACAGTTTTGAGGTCTTGAGGTTTTGAACAACAGATCAACATCACAGCACACAGATAGTAACCCATAAGTGCTCCGTTTTTCTTCTAACTCAAGTCTGAGTCCCAAGAAGCTCAGCATAGTGTACAGGCTCTGTAGCACCGGCAAGGATCCTGAAATACTTTGGGTAGATTTTTAACTCCAAATTTTGCCTAGGCAGTGTTGTTAGGCTACTCTTTTCAATTTCCAACTGCCAAGGGATTTTTTACGTGCGCAACAATGCACTGGGCGTCCGATCTCACTACCCAGAGACGAGGGGGAATTACTAGAAGTCCAAGTCCACAGGAAAAAATCCCAGCCCTTACTGGGGAATTAACCCTGGAACCTCTAGCACTCGAGGTGGACGCCATGACTCGAGACCACGCAGCGCCCAAATTATACAGTCAAAATCTATAAAGGGTGTGGTAAAGTATATAACATTGTTGAAAACAAAGTGGCAACTAACATTCCCTACACCAATAACTTGTCATCGTCTCTTTGCAGTCTTTTTAAAAAAAAATGGATTTCTATATTTATCTCTTCCCACACACTGTGCACCTGGTTTTGAGTTGGAGCTGTTGGTGAAACTGGGATCTAACACTTTGGGGGGAGGGGTGGGGGAGCACAAGGTATTACTGCACTACTTTTGCTGAAATAATCAGAGGGTGAGAGATGCACCCAGTTGTGAAATAGAATTCCGCAACTTCAGAGGTTGCTTCCCATTTTGCACCAATAATTTCTGATGCGGTATGTGACTCTGAATAACTGTAAGAGTAAACAAATGACAAAATAATTTCCCCAACCATTTCAAAGAGCGACATGTTAGAGGAGCATAAATCTTGCTTTGTAAATCAAACTAGCAGAAGAATTTGGAAATGACAGAGATTCCTTGATGTTGTGATCTCATATATTATCATAATAAACATCACACTACACACTGATCATTTTACCAACTTGGACTTCACAGAGTTTTTATAATTCTTTGTGTTCACTGGCTGTAACCACTGGTTGAAAGTTCTGGTTGTTCATCCACTTTTTGACTTGAGTTTTGTGTGCACATCCATATGATAGATCTGGCTTATTTGTATGCAAACTGTTGGTCCTCACCTCTCAGGCAGATGCACTCTGACTTTGAAGGAAACATCCCTAATTAGTCTCCTCCTACAAGCATGTTAGAGGGTCCATGGGTCTTTTCTTTTTTTTTTTCTACCTAAAATTGGGCCGTCAGAATCCACAAGGGGATTAACAGAGTTAATTATACAAGTTCTCTAGTTATTCATGCTAAAAGTTAGTTGCATATCCTTTACAGGACATTGCAGAACCAACCCCAGCATTTTTGGGGGGCTGTTGTGGTTTTTCTAGGCAAATTTACATCGTGTAGTCTGTCATTTCTTTCTAGACAGTCAGCTCTCTGTACCACTGTCCAAATGAACGGAAGATAAACCGTCCGCAGTTGGGATCGAACCTGGCACCTCAGCATTACGAAGCGCGTTTGCAAGGCCTAAGCCACAGACTTCCAACTTGTATTAGTGTCTCTGCTTGCCAGCTCGTTTATCACCTTCTAACCTGTCATACTCCCAGGTCGACCCAGCCTTGAGTGGGTACCGGGTGCAGTCCTGGGAAGTAAAGGCAGCTGGTGTGATGCGGACCACATAACCCATCTTGTGCTGATTGGTCTATAAAAATATAGGTCTAGCCCTACATGCCCTATACGCTCAAAGGCGTTGAAAAGGGACGTTTACTTTTTTACATTTTTACTTACACCATCATGCCCAGGTGCGTAGATCATTCAATGAGAATTTTTTTAGAAGGCAGCCCTGAATCCACAAAATCTTGCTACGCAACATAACTCACCAGCAGACCTGTTTTCTGCAACAGCACAAGCAGACAAATACAGATGGCCTAGCAGCCAGGCACCGATGCTTTGCAGACCCAGGTCGTTAGTGTCAACCACGATTTTCATGACTGTAGTGATGACTTCTGACACATTCAAGTCACTTCCTGTCATCACAGAACTTCCCTGAATCTGTAATAATAAACACAAACATAACACAGGTAAGCAGCATGCATTCCTCCAATAGAACACTGAAAACATAACAAAATATATTAACACTGGAGCCACAGTACTGCAGGAGCTGACGTGGTGTAGAATCCTCCAGTTTAAAGATTTTGAGTTTGAATCCGCATGGAGTAAGTTTTTTTCTCTCCAAAAATGATACTGGCTCCCAAGTCAACCCTATCCAAAGTGGGTAATAGGCAAAGTCCTGGGAAGTAAAGACAGTTGACATGATGCCAACCACATCATCCATCAAGTGCTAATTGGTCTAGACTAATTTGAGTCTAGCATCAGATGCTTGATGCACCACAGCCATGCAAACAGTTCTCAACTGACTTTGAGTTTTTTATTGTGAAGAAGGCATCATGAGAGCTTTTATGGTCAAGGGAGAATTAAACTACTTTCAGGACTCTCCAGTCAGCTGTAAGTTTAAATTTTTATGAATTATACATTTATATTTATTTGCTACCCAGCTGTTTCATCTTCATGCTAACATATTTCTTTAACTTTCTCGGTCTTTCTTTCCTAGTATCTTGCTATATCAAACTAACTTTGTTAAATATGAATATTGTTTTAAAACTCTGTATGCTGTGATAATGTTCAAATTGGTGAAGAGAGGCAAAGAGATAGAAAATGAAAGAATGATGGACAAATTGGCATAATATGAAAGAACATCTGTTTTAAATTTGTTTTACAGTACATGATAAGGAATTATGTGAACAGAGGTAATTACCAACACAACACTACACGTACTACAAGAAGAACTCTGCAGCAAATATTCCCTTTCCACTATATCTTAACTTTATTATGTTGAGGAGTAGTCTTGTAACACCTTGCACTGCCAATACGTATTTTTTTTTAGACTAAACTGCTTTAAAATATGGCTACTCACAGGAATCAAGGTTTGTTCTGATCCCACCATTGACAACAGACCAGTCAACTTGGCAACCCGCTCTACCTGGGAAACATCCTGAGATAATGAGATAAAAATGAGATAAGGATAAATAGTATGTATTATAATGTTTTAACATTTATAATATTTCATCTTCCTAATGATGGGTGGGGTTTTATCAAAGGTGAATGGACACTGTTTTAAAACAGACAGCCTCACATACAATGGCCACTACCTTCAGTATGAGAATGGAGGTGGAGGCAGTAACGGCAGCTTTCTAATGGCTTCAGAGCAGCACAGTCCAACATGTTGTTATTGTAATGGATTCACAGATCATGCTTCAAAAATTTAAACTGGCGTCCTGCATGTAGAGTGGCTTGCATCACTTGATAAGACTCAGATCAGGAGAATATTACAGATTTTCTGTCCAGGACAATCAGGTGTGCAATGTTACGAATGTCCTGAGTGCAGTGATGTCAATTCTTGACTGATTCATTCTTCTTCTTCTTCTTATTCAAAAGCTGTAAACTCAAGAGGACAGTCCTTGTTGGTTGCCCACTTCTGGACTTTGATCTTGTTCCAGAATTTGAGGATGAGCTTTGGTGAATTCTTTTTATTACAAACATTATACCACACACACACTTTGGTTAATTCTTTCTGTCATAAACATTGTACTGCACACAATCTTTGGTGAATTCTTTCTGTCATAAACAGTACACCACACTCAATCTTTGGTTAATTCTTTCAGTCATAAACATTATACCACACACAATCTTTGGTTAATTCTTTCTATCATAAACTTACCACACACAATCTTTGTTGAATTATTTCTGTCACAAATGTTATACATTGTTGACCAAAAAGAACAAAGGTGGAAAGCAAACTTTACTGATCAGTAAATGAACAAAATAAGACAGATCTGTCTTACTTATATGCCAGACTGTTGATTCCTTGCCTCTCGGGCAGATGCACTCAGATTTTGGAGGAAAAGTCCCTAATTAGTAGCCTTTTATGACATGTATTTTAGGGAGGCAGTGGGTCTATTCTTATTTTCCCACAAAATGGAGCCCCGGAATCCACAGGGGAAGAAAACTGTTACAATACCTGCTCTTTCTAAAATGGCAGTTAAACAAAATGTTTGGTTAGATGATACTAAAATACACCGTTAGTTTCCTTCCTGTACGCTAATTACATAGAGAAGCTAATTTTATCAATGGCTGGGTTAACGTGTTGCTACTACTTAGACTAGTTATAATAGCGACAATGGTCAAAACCCCATAGGGTGTTCAGTTAGCTGAGTGCTTTGAAAAATAATTACAAAATATGCTTGAGAGCATTAACGAAACAATTAAAAATAAAAATAAAGTTGTAGAAATGTTTACAGAAACACAATCACATCTGTTGGACAACATTTTTGAAGCATGGTAATAACTACAGGCATTTACACACAAATTATTTTATACTTAGGTGCTGTAGAATAATAATCAAACACTGTATAAATGTGATCATACACACTTTGAAATAATTTGGTCAATATCTTATAAGCATAGCCACTCTCTGGCCAAGAGAAAGCCGTTTCTCTGGTTTTAGGGAGTTTGGTAAACATAATGTCTTTGGACAGTGCCTGGTAAGCCTGTATTACAGCTTTGGCATTGGCTGAAACTGCATAGTGCATAGATATGTTGGGTAAGGTTATATTTACTCAAATTACCTTCACTAAAATAAAAATTTTTTTTTTTAAATAGATATTATTTCCAGTGAGGACAAATAAAATTTTAAGAATTATGGATGCACTGTGACATTATATATCATAATTACATCACTTTGTCTCTGTGGATCCAAACCACTTATAAATGGTCAAAGGGAAGGAAATCATTTATTCTTTGCTCCATTTCTATTTAGCAATTACTGACCTTGATGTAGAAATAAACCTTCCCAGCTTTAGACATTTAGTGACTCAAGACAAAACAATAAATTAATTTGTTGAAAGTGACACTGCATCATCAAAGAAGAGGAGGACTGCACATCTGCCCGTCTTCTTTGTCATCTGAGTTCAAACTTCTGCATATTTAAAGAAATTGACCAAGACTGCAAATTTCTTCTGCTTTTTCTTTGTTCTTTTCTAGTTTCTTAGGGCAGAGTTTCTGAGAATTACCAGGATGATTTTTTTTTGAAACTAGAATATTGTCTTGACATCGACCTGGCTGCCTAGATACAAAGATAAACTAGACTATTGTCTTGACATCGACCTGGCTGCCTAGAGATACAAAGATAAACTAGACTATTGTCTTGACATCGACCTGGCTGCCTAGAGATACAAAGATAAACTAGACTATTGTCTTGGCATCGACCTGGCTGCCAAGAGATACAAAGATAAACTAGACTATTGTCTTGACATCGACCTGGCTGCCTAGAGATACAAAGATAAACTAGACTATTGTCTTGGCAACGACCTGGCTGCCTAGAGATACAAAGATAAACTAGACTATTGTCTTGACATCGACCTGGCTGCCTAGAGATACAAAGATAAACTAGACTATTGTCTTGGCATCGACCTGGCTGCCTAGAGATACAAAGATAAACTAGACTATTGTCTTGACATCGACCTGGCTGCCTAGAGATACAAAGATAAACTAGACTATTGTCTTGGCATCGACCTGGCTGCCTAGAGATACAAAGATAAACTAGACTATTGTCTTGACATCGACCTGGCTGCCTAGAGATACAAAGATAAACTAGACTATTGTCTTGACATCGACCTGGCTGCCAAGAGATACAAAGTGATATTGTGTATTTGTTTAGTATTGTCTAATCTATGTTTGTGCTGAAGAAGGCTCCATAGCCGCAATGTTCATGTTTTGTTTGTGTTTGTTATATTGTGAAGCTCCCTGATGTACTTTTCGTTCAGTTTATATCTCTTCCTGATATTTAAAAAAAAAAGAAAATGTTGGGGGAAAAAGTTTTATTTAAAAAGATTCTTACAGTGTAAAAGGGATTAACAAAAAAAAATACTTTCAAACCTGATTGATAACATCTTGAAGCCACTGCTTGACAAGCTCTTGTCTCAGTTGGGACACTGACTTCAAACCTTGTTTATGCAGTGAGAAAGTCAAAAGTCCCAGGGCCAGGCAGATGCCAGCAATCTAAACAAAGGATAACAAATATGAGACAGTCATTTGATGTATTTGCTCTCACATGACTGACGTGGGACTTTTTTAGGTTGATCAAAATTTTACGGACATATGAAGATAGTATTCTGCTTTTTAGTCAGTGTGTGATTTCTAATTCATTCAAAATACATAGACCGCATGAAGCATCATACTACTGGAGAAAATATGAAATCTTTCTGTCTCAGGATTGTACTTTTAAATGATGTTAAATGGAAGCTGATTAAGATGTTAAAGTGTTAACAAGAAAACAGGTTTCATTCAACAATCCAGTATGGCTGAGAGAGTCTGGGAAAGTCATAGATAGATGGAATAATAAATGAGGGCAAAATGTGTTGCAAGTTGCTAAATGAGTTAAAGAAAAGCATTTAAATTTATCAAATACAAAAAAGAAAATTGATAATCTACACATGAAATTTTAGACACAGTTCCAGGAGACAATAAACCGGAATTCTGCCAAACAAAATTTTATTTGCAAAATAATGCAGGAGTATTTCAAGATGCCAGATAGTGACTGTCATATCTGTCTTTAGTTTTTAAAAACTGTTTAGGTCTTAAAAGATTTCTGAAATTGGTTTTTCTCTCTGTGGTTTTTCTGCCAGATCTAATTTTCCATCTTTACTTTGCCTTTCAGTGCAGGGTTGGAAAAAAAAAAAAAAAAAACAGAAGTTAAAAAACACCACTGGTGAGAGCTCTAATGTGGTACTTCCATCATTTGATATTTAAAATTAAATTGAAACATAAAGAAGAAGAAATTAAAGCCTTGATAGGATTTTGCACATATGTGGTCACATGATCAGCAAATAAGGAGTTTTCTTCAGGTTGAAAAAACCTGAACTGCCATCTTGGCAGATAAGGGCATCAATCGCTATCCCACCATGGCTTCTCCACGGACATAAGATAATGTATGATGCATATGTTCTCTAAACTTTACAGACATAAGAGACACACTAATATTTTGTTTTAATGGGGAACATTTAAAAAAAACACAATTATGATCCTTACATGTGGGTTATCTTGATGCAGCTGCCGTAGTCTGTCGACAACAGGCAATATGGTCTCAATGCTGGATGCATTGCTTGCGTACAGTGAGCCAGCAATACTTGTTACAGCAACACACAGAGGCTAAATGAAAAACATGTTTCATAATTATATTTTGGTACAGATTCTAAAGCTGTTGAGTGGTTTATCGAGAACAACCATCCTTGCATTTCTAAAAAACTCATATTTGCTCGTCTCCCATAAATACTCTTTCTCCCTCATTTTGGCCAGTTATGTGGGATGCACTTTTTTGTTATTTGAAGCCCGAAACTGGCTTTTGCCAGTGGCCCTAAAAAAAGCTGGCCATAAATATGGTCTAATGGCTGAACAGGATTTCAGGGACCTTTCCACGGGTGATCCTCATCCGCATAGTGGCACTTTGTGTTACAGGGTGTTAATCGCTTTGTGTGATGTCCTGGTGGGGTACAACTTACATACATACATACATTATGGCCAGCAGTGCAATCACACACTCACATGTTCTTTCACCATTAGCACATTCAGACATGCTTTGACTTGTTTAATACGCTTAGATGAATTCTTCTCTCAGCTCATCCATATACAAAAAAAAGGTAAAGTCGGGAGATATGAACCAGCATCATTGCACACAGTTGTAAACCATAATTGCTCTGTCACTAGTAGGGACAGCTGATAAGAAACTGTCTGCCTGTGTCGCAGTTCACACGTAACTCCGTAGCTACAGCGACATTCCTCCATTCACCCTAGAGTGTCAACTCTGGTACCCATTTCCTAGAGGCTGGGTGAACCCTGGAACCGCCTGGTTTCGAACACCAACCGTGGCCTGCAGTGAGTCGCAGCTGGATTTGAAAGCGAGCCTCCTATCGACTGCGCTAATTCGGCTCCCTAAGAAGAAGTCACGTAGGGATTGAATGCAGCACTTTTTATTTATAAGGCGGATATGATATAAATTACCCTAACATTCTGCACACCCATAAATGCTGCAACTCCCCCAGAACACCCAGATATGATCAGGTGTGTTCTGCCTTCCTCAGCATCTCCATATGTACCCAGCCGCCTTCATTGTTGTTATTTGCAACCTTTCCATCTTTCAAGATAATAGTGCTATATTGTGCTATAGGGAGGCAAGAGAATCACAGCCCATGATCATGTCTGATATTCTTTGACCCATTTTGTTTTCTGCTTATCATCTCCCAACTGAGTATAGGCCTTTAACCAACTCAGGTCAAGCCATTTCTTCCCCATGTTGGATCCAGAGCCCTATCGTGGGGGGAAAACAAGAATAGACCCACTGCCTGCCCAACAAGCATGTAGTAGCAGTTCGACTGATTGGGGGCATCCTTCGAAGTCAGAGTGCATCTGCCTGAGATGCAAGGAACCAACAGTCTGCAAACAAATAAGCCAGATCTATAAAATGGAGTTGCCGGCAACACTCAGCTTCTTGAACAAGACTAAAGTCAGGAGGTGGATGAACAACCAGAACTTTCTAGTAGAGTTTACCAACAGTAAATGCAAAGAAGAAGAAGCCCTTTCTAGGCTTGCTCATGACTGGTAAGATTTTGTGACCAAAGTTTTCTACTGGTTTGAGGTAGCCAGTCTTACACCAACCCTCCTCAGTCACCTTATACGACATGCATGATTTACAGTATTAATATTTTTTGCTTCCTTAAAAGACCCAATTTGGGAGGTGGTTAAGGGCCCATGCTCCATGAAAGACGAGATTCAGAAAAAGGAGGAGGGACAGGTAGGAAAAACATGAAGTTGAGGTGAAAAACAAAAGAAATAATTCACTGTAACTACTCTTCATGATTTTCAGCAACTGAAAGATTTGTAATGTGTATGTTAAATATGCATGCAAACTTCCCCCTCCCCCTATCCCATTTGAGAAGACTGAGTATCTAATGGACTACCCACACACTAGACAGTGACCTGTTCAGGGTTTCTGTTGCATACAAATGATTGCAAATTGAATAAGAATCAAGCAAGTTTTAGGACAGAGATCACCTGTGTGGAATCCAGGGCCCCAATTTTACTGAAAAAAAGAATAGACCCGCTGCCCCTTAACAAGCATGTTGTAAAAGTCGACTAATTTTTGGTGTTACCTTTAATGTTTTATTAGGAATCGACAACATAGCACTCGGGATATTTCCATAAGCACAAAGTCCCCATCTTCAGCAGCAAGCGCAGAGTTCAAATTCTGGTACCAGTAACTGTCTGATTGTAAATCTCTGTCTCATCTTTCATTTGTGCATTGATCGCTGGCCAGATTTTTCTGGTCACTTCTCGTAGCACTATTCTACTCAGACAATGATGATCCATTTATGCTTCTGCACTGTTAACTCACCCTAAAGGGCTCTTACAACACTTAGCTTGTCGCGCATCAGTTCACCACCAAGTTGCGCAGAATCAGCCAGACTATTTGTCTGATAATTTCTTAATACACTGTCAAATCCTTGAGACAATATTAAAAGGATGCTAAGTACCCAGGACCTCTGAAGCGATCATTGCCACTCTTCATGGAGCATACAGGTCTTCACCTTTTTCAACATGCTGTGTGAGTCCCTTACAGTTACGACATGTGTGCACAGCTGATTCTCAAGCCAGTAGTAAGCTGCCGTGACAAAACTGCCTCCACCTCTATTCTCAAACTTAATGTTGTGGTGTCATATGCCAGACTTTGTTGCACTGAGCTACGTCCATTTGCTTTTACTAAGAACCCTCATGAACTTTGTCTGCCTCTCATCACAGAGCCATCCCTTGAGTGCAACAGGGTTCAGGCCAGGTTGTGTCAAGCTGAGGGTCCCCTGAGGGCCACCTGGGTCATATTTGTGTTGTCATGATGGCTACTAGTTGTAGTCATTTAACTGAAATTATTGCTTGCAAAGTGCTGCATGTTCAACATGCCTGGGCTAGACAACAGAATCTGTTTGATACTACCATTTATTGGGAGACTGTCTGGAACCACAGGCCTTCAACTAGCTGATACCAGTTTTGCCAGATTAGGCTACAAGTCTCTGAGTCTCTAAGTTTAAAAAAAAAAAAAAATGGTGGCGCCACACACAGATGACTCACTTTGACAAGAGAAAGCAAACTGAAAATATAAATTCAACTTACAACCAACTGGACTAATGAATGAAACTCGGTCTCAGAATGAAACACATAGGCACTCGTGCTAATTTAAATATGTGCCAAGATTACCTATCCTACATTTTCAACACTTCTTGAAATTTTTGGGAAAGGAAAAGCAATAATGAGAAGGGTAACTGATCACATCTACCTTGCATGATGTTTATAATACTTTATATTTATATTATTCATATTTCTGTGAACATAAGATTCTTTAGAGTAAAAAAAAAAAATACAATTGCTGTGTGAAGTATGAGTGTGTGGAAGGGCTGAACATGAGGCAAGCCTGTGTGCCCACAATGTGATACTTTGAAAATAAAGTTCTTTAATACGTTCGTAACTCTTTACACCTACAGGAGAAAGTCCAATGCTTCACACATACCTTTACAGACTAACTAGAATGAAATTAATTATTATAAATAGCCATGAGAACAATCTTTTTTCTAAGCAGTCCATCATGGGAACTGAACCCTGGTAAACACAGAAGATTGCATTGTGAAATGATTTCAATCACCTCTAAGCTCCAGAGCCATACAATAATAACACACTATAATAATACAAACACAGTAATAACAATAATAAAACATATTAAAAGCACCTACCTTACTACCGGTCATCTCAGAGTAGTGATCTTCAAACAGCCTGCCCAGCAACATGCCTAAAGCCATTCCATTACAAAATGCCAGCAGAGGGGACTCCAAAGCTTTGCTTCCCTTAGGCAGGGCTGCAGCAAAAACAGTTAGCAGGTGCTGAATTCTGTCGGTGTCCAGGGCAATGAATACAGGCACTAGCTGGCTGGCAGCAAGCCTGGCAGTGCCGCTACACAAAGTGCTGGCAGGGGAACGGTCCAGTGTGGATCTCTGTTGGTTCCAGTAAACCAATAGAGAAATTATTAAATTATTCAATAACATAATAAAATAAAACAAAAAAGGTGGGTTAATATTCAGTGTAAGCTCAGCATGCACAATCACAAGTAAATGTATTAGTGGATTAGTACTATATCCCAGTCAGGTGCCTGTGGTTTAACTTTTTCAGACCCAAACCACTCACCATTTGTACTGGATATTACTTATGCGCACCAGTCAACAGAATCAGATGTGCAACATCTATGCACTAACGATATGATCTGCTGCCTGTGATTGTGGAGCAGAAAGACAGCCCCCTGGGCACATACTACAGTACTGCCCTTACCTCTCCCAGCAAAGACTGTGGATCTGGCCCAAGGGAGCCACATTGAAAGAGAAGCTATGGGGGAAGGGTGGCGACCTTAAACGCACAATCCTATTTGTGACCCAGACGGGACTCAATGTTTAGCATGACTGATGTCGAACGCAGAAGAAGAAGAAGATGTGCAACAAATGATTCATGACAGTTCCTGTCCAGGGGATATGATTATCTATACAAATGGCTCTGTGTTCAGAGGGAGGCAAAGTGCACAGGGGTTCATTACAGAAGCGAATGAACGACGCTTGGTGCAGCAAAGCCTGGCATATGACATCATGTCTAGTTTTAGAATAGGGGTTGAGGCAGGCACTGCTGCCTTCTGTTGGAGTGAGAATGAGCTGTTCACACATGTCATAATTGTGACTGACTCACAGAGCATGCTGAGAAAGGTGCATACATGCATGCTCTATGCAGAGTGGCAAGCATTGCTTCAAAGGTCTGAGATAGTTAGCAACATTTCGGATCTTTTTTCCAAGTCGCGCTGGTGTGTTGGGAAATGAGCAGGTGGATAGAGTGGCTGTTTAATAGATCATTATGGTCTGTGGAGAATGGCACTGCAAGGAGTTACCAGGGGGTCTCATTGATGCTTAACACTAAGCAGTGTTTAAAACAACTGACTACTACTGAACATAAAATTGCCTAGTGAAACCATTAACAGCTAATAAATTTGCTTAGCAAAACCACACAACAGCCAATATAAAGGACATGCTGCTAATTTTAAAAGAACTTACAGGTCAAAACAGTGTTCTATATCACTTCTCGTTATTTTAACTTGCTTTGTAATTCTTGGGATTCAATAATAATAATTTTTTTTATTATTCCACAATTAAACAAGGCCTAATCACCTTGAAGACCCCCCCCCCCCCCCCCCTCAGATAATTACTGGATGGGTGAGGGGATAAGCTATTATTGTTTTCTTGTGGTGGCACTCCTAGATCAAAATAAGTGCCCCAGACGCACTTGTTAACTGCATCAATGTAACAAACACACCGCTGCTGGAGATTGGCTGATCAAGTTACAGAGGATAAATTCTATTGTGCGTCACATTTCAAGTGGTTAACATACAACGTTTAGAGGTAGTCAACATTCAGAGGTAGTCTTCCACTGACAATATGTGGTGACCATCCAATCAATGAAAATGAGATGCTCAACTTTAAAGGTGCTACTGTAGTTTTCTCAAGGTTTCTGCTACAGAACCAACCTGGAAAGAGTTACTACCTGCTGGATTATTTACTTCACTGTATTGAAACATCTTTCACATTTCTACCACCAGGCTGTTTATGTTTTTACAGTTATGAATATACCTGCTGACAAAGTCCATGGAGTCCTCCCTTTGGCTTGTACTCAACATCAATCAAAGAAAAGATGGTGTCTGATGTTACTGTCAACCAATGAACATGTCCCATGTGCTCTGAGCTGCGACTGGCTGCTTCGATTTTCTCTGAGCCAAGATCAGCAGAATATCTGTGTACACACAAGGCCAGCCCAGCCAGAGCTAGGACACAGTTGGCTTGGGCTGTTGGGGTTCCTCTGAAATTGTTACAGAGCACTTGTTAGATCAAATCAAACATAGTATTTTTAGTACCAATCATCTCACACATTTAAATTTGCCTGATATGTCAACATTCTGGTGCTGCTGCTGTAGTCTAACTATGGAGGTCATAACAGTGACTTAAGTAATAACATGGCTGGAGACACAGACGTTTTCTTCTGCATGCTAGCTCAGTGACTCAATAAGTATGCTCAGGAAGATAGATGGGTCTCTGAAGCAGTCGGGGCTGAGATGTATCAGTTTCATATTTTTGCAAGGACGTGCAAGGAAATGAGCAAGCTGATAGGCTTGCAGGTAAAGCTACTGTGGAGGGAGAATGAGCCATGGGCCAGGCAGATATTCTGAAAGCCCTAGAAGTAATACATTTGTGAGAACCAAGTGATGACTGTGAATCTACAGCCATGACCAAAGTGCAAGAACAACATGTTAAAAGGGTGAACAACATGTTAAAAGGGTGTGGCCTGACAGAAGTGCTATGCAGGACGCCAAAGAAGAATAAGAAACCAACACAGAACTCGTGTCGTCAGCTGCCACACGCTATAGGATTTACTAAGAGAGGGGGGGGGGTGTAACCCGAGCACTTATGGACTGATTTTATGTGCAATGAGGATGATCTGTTGACTAACTAACAACTGATATGCTATGCTTTTCTGGGGGTCTTGCGTCCTATCCATCAGTAGCTTTAACCCATTCTATTCTGGCTGTTACTTCAGTGTCCTTTTGTCCCATTGTATTATTATCTAAACTTCTTTAGACTTATACTTTGACGTTTTAGGAGATGCAGAGGTTATTTTAGAAAGAATTAAATGAGGAGGCATGGCTAAGAGACAGGGTGTCAAACTGAAGTCCTAGAAGGTAGTTGTTTGAATCCCAGCACAACATTTATACATGTCCCCCTCACCTCTTGGATAGTAAGATTGGATACACAGTTTTCTCAGATAAAGGGCGAATAACAGGAGGTTAGCAAGATGTACATACTATAAAGCAGTTGGAAATTACACAGAACAGGTCATTTTGCCCTGAAAAATGTTTAGGAAAAGAAAAACAGTTAAAATATGGGCTGAAAAAGTCCATCATCATTCATGAAATGTGCACACAGGAAGTAAACATTATGTAAAATGCATGCTGAAATCAGTCACACTGATCTCTGAGGAGCAAGATTAGATGAAATGCACTCCTATCTAAAGAGGAACATAAAGGGGGACAAACAAATAATAATGCAACAAGCAACAATCACTTAGGATTACCTAAGAAGTACATGAATGAACAACTAGTTCACATCAAGCCTGCGATAAATCAACATATGAACACTGCACCATTTTTTATTTCAAAACAGCTCAAATAAAAATCAATATTTCTAATTCGAACAAAAGCTGAAGCTAAATTTTTATTTTTGGAAAAAAAATGGTAAAGTTCACTTGGTCATTTCTCAAAAATGACAAAATAAAAAAAGAAAATAACTTTAAATTTCACCAAAATCGAAATCTTCGGCAGGCACTTTTGGCTATTGTGAACAATCTGGAAAGCTTGGAGTTATAATTCTTAATTTTGATGCATCTGAATTTAGGGTCAATGCGACAAAAGACTTTTATCTATCAGAGAAAGATTGTATAGAAATTATTATTCTGACCTTGTACCAAATCACTGTCTGCACTGATGCTTGTGTTGCAGAGCTCTTCTTTTATCAAGTTTAAAAAAAACAATACACACACACACACACACAAAACTAGTGGACGTATAATACTCATACTGGAATTTACTTCTTTGGAGAAGTCTACAGAGATGTAACCATGCCCTGATTCAAGAAATCAGCTATGAACTTCCTGAAATAACCTCTAGGTTGATAATGATTAACCCCGAGGTTTGTAACGATTTCTTCACAAGTTCTAGGTATTTTGCTGCCAGAGGCCTCCAAATCAATGCCCATGAGAAAACAGGGTCTCTTTAATTAAAAAGACAAAAAGGTGTGCTGATGGTGACAAATATGTCAACCGTATGCTGTTTTCTGATATGTCTCCTCTCATGGCCACATTCTAGAATCGGATAGATACTGTCAATTCCTGTCAAACACATTTAAGATGCCAAAGACGTTGAAATTGTCATTCAGTACATTCAAAAACAAATTCTTAAGGAAACTGATAAACAATAAATGGGATGCCCCCCCCCCCCCCACACACACACACACACACACACAAAACTGTCAATAATTTTATTATATACAACTTTTGGGGTGTAGGCAGGGAGTCTTTGAGCCTGAGGATTTAGGGCTGCATGACTAATGCTGCCGCCATGACTATGCAGGCGAGGATTTTATTTTGCCCCCAACAGAAAAAATTATCCAGCCTTACTGAGGATTTGAACCCGGGTCTCCTGCAGGAAAGCCCAGCATTCTAACCATTCAGCCGGCCGCTCCTCTTAAATGGATACATTTAAGAAAAGTGAAGTTATAACAGAATTGTCTGCACATCTGCTTGTATCATCAATTATAAGAAACCAGGATGGTGACACATTGGGCAAATCATGAGGATAGAAAAATCATCAAGAATGCACTGACATAGAAAATAAATGGATGAAAAGAGACCATAAGATAAATAATGCTGAGGAAGACCAAAGGTGCTGGAGCAGATTCATTCATTCAGTAGCATGTCCCTCGCGGAACCTCGCTGCCATAACAACCCTCCGGAAAACCTTCCTATCATGAGCAAGATGTCCTGCATCTGATACACCCATCTGGAGATCATCTGCCACATCCTGCACCCATCTTCTCCTTGGCCTTCCTCTTCCTCTCTTCCCAGGCATATACCCCTCCATTATTGTTCTCTCTAGACTTCCATGACGTTTCAAGTGACCAAAATATTTCAATTTTCTTTGTGTTATTGTCTTTACTAGCCATGATATCTAAAGGATTGCACAGAATAGAACGGAATGGAGGATTAGAATGTGAGCCCTAAGTGATGTATAAAGGCATATTGGGACAATGATTGTGATATTAAAGATACCATAATCAGTCGATTTCGATTGTGTCATGCCAGAACAGCACTGTGATTTAGGTCACAGGTATGAGGAGGTGTTAAGACTTTTGTGCTGTACATAAAAAGATACTCCATACTTTACCTCAGGCTCCAGGAGGCTCTGTGAAAGTTTTACAAATCCTCACGCAAGATCCCTACCATATGTCCTCGTAATACACCACTGAAAATGGCCTATATCAACCTAAACTGAGCTGGCAGGGGATCTTGGAACTGGTGGTCCTCAGAGGCGCAGTGTCCCAAAATTCTCTGGCACTCATCAGCCAACCCCCCCCCCCAATGCATGGGTGACAGCATCAGTGGAAAACATTTGAAACATGAATGAAGTCTGCTGATCAAGTATCAAATGCCTATTCTACCCTGAGGGTCCTATCCTACTGAATGGCTACTTAGGTTCAGAAGTCCATCCATCTATATGTCAGCAAAAGTTCAGATATCCTTTGATCAAAGATCCTACTAGATGACATAACAGTTTTAAAGGTCTGCGTGGCCACACTCATCGGAGTGAAATGACTACATAGGGAAGCCATGCCTGACGCATGCTTCCTATCAATGCTGCACAACAGAGTGTCCTGGGGCATCCATGCAGAAGATGCTATTGGTAAGTCTAACATGCTGAGGAAATGTCATGCCCATTTTGTGAAGGTGAAGTCTCAGGTGAGCTTGGACACACACAAAAATGCTCAAAGAAGTTGGATTTACCAACTGAAAGGCACAAATATTGAAGCTGTAAATAGACACAACACATTAATATCATTTGGACAAATAATTAAGAAGGAGATGAAGTTCCAGTCTAATGAAGACATATTACATTCAGAATAATATGCCACGAAATATATTTTAAACAATAAACATTCAACTTACAGTGATGCTGTTTTGATGACTTCTACAATCGAGTCTCGAACTCTGCAATCAAAATTTAAAAAACAAAAAAGGGAAATAAACAATTAAATTTTGAATGAAATATCTTCGGATCAGTTAGTTAAAAATGTTAAAACATTATCAAAACAAGAAGATTAAAATGCTTTAATTCTTTTATGACAAAATTACATTCTGAAATATGTACACTGAATTTGTGGCTTGGCATACTGCATATGAAGCAAAACTACAAAAGGAGAGAGGAAAAATTTGAGATAAAATATGATATGATGTCATCCTTCTCTGTCACCTTCTCCTAATTTGTCTTTTCATCTTCTTCTCATACACTCAAACCTCTCTGTTAATGGAGCAGTAGTTAGTTTCAGGTTCAAGACATTCCTGCAGACAGTTTAAGTATCAATGATAATTTTAGCAAAAGCCTGAGCAGCAAAAGCACACACACATGTTGTTGTTTTGTGTTGATAAATTACAACACTAAAACTTCTCTAGAACATTCTAGCATGTCAATAAATTAACTTCCTCCTGTGGGTTCCAGGGCCCCCTTGTGGGGAAAAAAAGAACAGAATCCCCCCCCCCCCCCTCCCCCCCAAGCAGGTAGTAAAAGCTGACTAATTAGGGGTGTGTCCTTTAACTCTATGAGTCCCAGAGGGTTTAGCATCACAGGCCCAAGAGGTAGTCAAAGAGACGAAAATCGACGCATCATGCGTTCATTGGGCTTCAAGGCAGTAACCTATGAACGTATGATGCGTTCCTTGGGACTCAAAGAGTTAAAGTCAGATAGCATCTGCTTGGTAAGTGAGGGACCGACAGTCTGCATACAAATATATCAGATATGTAAAATATCCAAGCAGGAGAAACCCAAGTTCTGGAACAAGACCAGTCTAGAAGTGGATGGTCACTACATTAACCGTATGTGTCGATTCCTACCCACCAAAAAATGGATGACACATTCCGTTTTTCGGGACAGCTTTTATTGCGTTTGCTCTCTAGACAGTTGCAGTCCCCTGTTGATGAGATTCTGTCTTCCCAGATAGTGCGTTGCCACGACCAAAACATCGCAAAGGCTGCCAACTCTATCGGTCATTATCCCACCCAGACATAACGCAGACACACTACACTCTGCTCCCTCGAAAAACACACAGTATCCTGTGCTAGAAATTTGCATAAAATAGCAGTCCATGATAAAGGAACAGAACAATCCAAGAGAAATCACAACCATAGAAAAATTACACCACTGCTATTGGCCATTTTGAAAGCGAAAGTCTAGAAGTAGATAAACAACCATAACTTTCTGCTGGAGTTTACAGCCAATGAACATTTAAAAAAAAAAAAAAAAATAAATATATCAACTTACTATTAGACTTATTCTAATGGAATAAAATAATCTAGATAAAAGATTCTGAAACTGAAAATCTTCTTCTTCTGCCTTTCATCTCCAACTGGAGCATAAGCCCTCAACCTGTTCAAGTAAAGCCTTTTGTAGACATGTTAAGTACAAAAACAAAACAAAAAATGTCACAAGAAAGGTCAATAGAAGGAATTGAAAAGATGCATACAGATACAATAGAATGTTTTGCAAACTGAACGTTTTGACAAAGTCTTTATTAATATCATAACTTTTGAAGTGTTGTTTCTTCATGCCTGCATTTTATAGCAACTCTTGTCACATCATTAACAGATTACAGTTTTACAATTCTCCTTTGTTCCATAATGGATCACAAAAACATACAATGAAAAATTGAAAAGATCGACTTCTTTGCACTGTGTATCATCACATGTGGCTTGGTCTCTCTTCACAGAGTAGATAGCCATCTGACAAGATATTCACACAAAGCACAAACTCCATAGCTCTAGTGATGACCCTTAGGGATCTCTGTAACAATTGCAAGCATGAACTGAACAACATATCCGTGAAATGTACATACAACCTTCAGAGCATAAGGCAAACGGCTTGACCATTCGCCATGGAGACCCCCCTAAACAACAAATTAGTGAGTCACAAACAAATAAAAAAAAAATATATATATATATATATAAAACTTGTTTATTATAACAATGTCACCCCCGTGTGGGTTCTGGGGCCCCATTGTGGGGAAAACAAGAATAGACCCACTGCCTCACCAAAAGCATGTTGTAAGAGTCGACTAATTGGGGAGCTTCCTTTGAGGTTGGAGTGCATCTGCCGGAGAGGCAAGGAACCAACAGTCTGTATTCGAGAGAATGAGATCTGTAAAACTGATGCACATGCAACACTCAGCTTCTGGAGCAGGACTGCAGTTCAGTAGTGGACGAGCAACCAGAACCTTCCGCTAGAGTTTACAGCTGGTGAACGTGAAGAAGAAGAAGATAACAATGTCACAAAAACACAACATACACGAGCCATGCTTGTGATTTCTTGTCCTCTGTGTTTGCTGCCGAAACAGCATTTTCATGTGTTTCTTGAAGCTCCAGTTCTGCTCTGCGACTCTAAAACATATGATAATGAACACTGGGCTATGTTTATATGTTAATTCGCTGATCCTATATACATATGCTCATGCACACACACATATGTATAAACATGCATATGTAACAGATAAATGTGCACATGTGTGGAAAAACTTGAAAACTATTAACCACAAATCTTTTCTCTCTTTTAAAATTAAATCATCGTATTGTAATCATTATAGTCAAACAACATTGTTTAAAGTTGGGTTGCCCGTGGCCGCTGACTCCCTGATCACTTCCCTCCACCTGTGTATTACTGGGTTGCCCATTGCCGCTGACTCCCTGATCACTTGCCTCCACCTATGTCAGTCAGCTGCAATACACTTGATGTTTGCGGCCTGTCTAGTCAGCCAAATTCTGTATTCAGGTCTGCCTGCCCTTCTTTTCCTCTTCCCATCTGCAGTTACCTGTAGTATCCTTTACAGCTAGATAAAGCAAAGGCTTGTTTGGTACCTTTTACATAAAACTGTCTTCTAGTTCGTTTTTTTTAATGGGGGCTGCGTGGTCTCGAGGCATGGTGTCTGCCTCTAGTGCTAGAGGTTCCGGGTTCAATGCCTAGTAAGAGCTGGGATTTTTTGGACTTTTGGATTTGTTGGACTTCTAGTAATTCCCCCTGGTCTCTGTTTGAGATTCTCTGTTTGTCTCTTTTCAGAATGTGTCCAACATAGCAGTAATTTCTCTGTCGATACAAAAGGTTGCCCAGACATCTCACTTATTCCTTAACCTTTTTTGAATTAATCTCATTTTATGTTCATTTTTTCCTTAGGCATTTGTACATTAACTCTTTGCATCCCAGGGGGTTTAGCATCTCAGGCCCAAGGGGTAGTCAAGAGAGATGTAAAATCGGCGCATTCATTGGGCCTCTAGGTAGAAATATATGAACGTATGATGCATTCCTTGGGACTCAAAGAGTTATGCATACATTAATATCTATTTTTGTGTAGACCAATTAGCACTCATTAGGTGAAATACTCAATATCATGCTAACTGCCTTTACTTTCTAGAAACATTTCTTGAAACCAATTTTAGCCTAGGCTGACCTGAGAGCAAAGGTCATTTTTTAAAAATTCCTCTCAGAGGAATTGAGAATTACGGTCAATGAGCTACAGGTGCTAGTTATCATTCAAATATAATTTACCTCCAACATAGACAGAAAAAACCTCTCCATGAAAGAGTTCCAGCACTGAGGCATAATAGTGCTTCGATGCCATTCTGAAGGTTGAACAGGGACCTGTGAACAATCAACAGTTGATAGATGTTCTCACAGCAGAAGTCAAAAAGGTCTTGTGACAAAGACAACACACTCACATTTGGTCTTCCAAGGGACATATAACAAAGATAAAACAGTACATTTTGTCCTCCAAGGGACATATAACAAAGATAAAACAGTACATTTTGTCCTCCAAGGGACAGATAACAAAGAAAAAACAGTACATTTTGTCCTCCAAGGGACATATAACAAAGATAAAACAGTACATTTTGTCCTCCAAGGGACATATAAGAAAGAAAAAACAGTACATTTTGTCCTCCAAGGGACATATAACAAAGATAAAACAGTACATTTTGTCCTCCAAGGGACAGATAACAAAGATAAAACAGTACATTTTGTCCTCCAAGGGACATATAACAAAGAAAAAACAGTACATTTTGTCCTCCAAGGGACATATAACAAAGATAAAACAGTACATTTTGTCCTCCAAGGGACATATAAGAAAGAAAAAACAGTAAATTTTGTTCCTCCAAGGGACATATAACAAAGATAAAACAGTACATTTTGTCCTCCAAGGAACATATAACAAAAATAAACAGTACATTTTGTCCTCCAAGGAACATATAACAAAAATAAACAGTACATTTTGTCCTCCAAGGAACATATAACAAAAATAAACAGTATACTTTGTTCCTCCAAGGGACATCTAACAAAGATACATTTGGTCTTCCAAGAGACATGTAACACAAATAAAACAGTTAAGCTGGCTCTTCTAAGGGACTGTATGACTGACAAAACAGTCAAATTTTGTCTTCCATGAGACATGTAATGTTTGTTTGTTTTAGTATCCAGAAGCCATGAGTTGTTAACCCTTAGGCTCGGTATTATGGATATCGCAACCTTTCGGCCTTGATTCCATTGTAAATACAGTAAATCTGGGAGAAAATGTGGCTTTCCTGCCTACCCCCGGGATTGAACCCGGACCACAAGGAGTACGTCACCCGGTCTCCGCGAAATCTGGTTTAGCCAATTCCGCTAGAGAGCCGGGGAGACATGTAATAACAAAGATAAACAGTCAAATTGTGTCTTCAGAAAGACATGTAATGACAGAGATAAACAGTCAAATTTTTTCTTCCGAGGGATATGTAACAAAGATAAAATTTTCAAATTTGGTCTTCCAAACAACATGGTTAGTTGCGTATCCTTTACAGGACATTGCAGAACCAACCTCAACAGCCCCTGGCAGTTGTGTGGTTTTTCTAGGCAGATTTACGTCCAGTAGTTTGCTTTCTGGATGGTCGGCTTTCTTGATACCACTGTTGAAACCAATGCAAGGTGCATGGCCTGCAGCTGGGATCGAACCTGGCATTCCAGCATTACGAAGCGTTCGCATGGACTTAGCCTCAGAGCCAACTCAAAGGACATGAGACAAAGACAAAGCTGTTAACTGTGTTTTCTGAATTCTTTTCATATTTTACAAAGAAATAAAAAGGAAATGTACACACAGCACATGAAATAATGACAATAATTCTGTGCATTATTCCCCTCTTTGACAAGATATGACACATAATGACAAAACAGTCATTCCCCTGACATGGCATGACATACAGATAATACAGCAGTTGACTAATGACTAGTTCATTTTCCCATGACATGACATTCATAAACCTACACAAGTAGTCTTCTCCTGATGTGACATTCAGATAGTAACAAAGCAGTTTACAAGCTGTTATTATTATTATTAGCTTACTTTAGAGGAATTTGTTAAAATACAATGTCCTTTATCTTGAATGTCAATGACTTTAAGACCACTTTCAAAAGCTTACACAGTACATCACTGTGGGAGAGTCATGGAATGTTATGGCACACCAATGAATTCAATAAACATTATCAAAGCAAAGTATCAGGGCTAAGAGTGTGCAGTGCACAGAGATGATGGTTTACGTGACTGACTTGCAGTGGAAACTAGGGTAAAAGGAAGTGTTTATTTCCCTAGTTACTTGGCATAACTATTGACTGGGTGAAGAAAAATATTTCTGCAGGAAAAACCAGCATCAAATGGGTGGAAAATACAATTAGAGGATCTGGATTTGCAGATTCCCCGTTTGGGTTCCGGGCTCCCATTGTGGGGAAACCAGAACAGACCTACTGCCTCCCCAACAAGCATGTCATAGGAATCAACTAATCAGGGACTTCCTTCAAAGTCCGAGTGCATCTGCCTGAGCGGCAAGGAACAACCAACGGCACACCAATAAGCCAGTAAAATGGATGCACACGCAAAACTCATGCCCTGGCAAAAAGGCAAAGTCCAAATGGATGAACAACCAGGATTTTCCACTGGAGCATACAGCCGGTGAATAAAGAAAAAAGAAGAAGAAGAAGAGTATTTGCAGATGCTATGGTTCTGCTAAGTAAGAACCACAATGACTTGCAAAGAAATATTATTTAGCAAAAATAGTGTAAAAAGTCAGATTGCAAATCAATTTTTAAAAGGTGAAGAAATAAGAGAGATGTCTAAACTACTGTTTGAATCACCAGTTAGCCTATAGGAAAAAGAAGATGGCAATATGTTAGGCTAATCATGAGAAGAAGTTGACATGGCATCATTAAACAGGCTCTGAAATGGGAAACAAATGGAATGAAGAAACCAGAAGGTCCAAGAAAAACTCTTCGACTAAAACTGCTGACAGATGCTAAATAAAGGTGCTGGACTAGATTCCACCCTTGATATCAAAATGATTGCTGCAGTACAGAATGGAATGGGGGATGCGACAGTGAGCCTTATTTGACATACAACAGCACAACAGGATGATGATGATGATGCAAGCTGTTTCCTCTCAAATGATATTTATGTAATAATAATAAACCAACACAAAAAAACCTTTCCCCTGACATGACCTCAAGTCAATTGAAAAAAAAAATCAGTTGTTTTTCCTTCATGATGATGATGATGATGATGATGACATTCAACCCCACCAGGACATCACACCAAGCGATAAACATCCGATGACACAAAGTGCCACCATTCAGATAAGGATCAAGCGGGGACAGATCCTAGAAACCCCATTCAACCCACAGGTTGGGTTATATTAGTTAGCCTGGCAACCGCCAGGGTGAGGTTTAAAAAAAAATGTGTGTCTGGCATTAGGACGCACAGATGTACTTGCATTTGTCTTTCCCTGACTTGAAAAAATATTCAGCTAATAATAAAACTAATAATAAAACAGTTCATATATTCCTTGACCTTGACATGACAGGAAGTTCAAATAATGAAAACAAGGTAGCAAGTTCTCTTGCTCTGCCAACAGAAAAATGAACAGCACACAGTTCATACCTCATTTAACAAAGTTGTGAATGTCTGCAGAAATGATTTGCCATGTCGAACAATGTAATGTTTCCTAGGCCGTCCATCTCTACCAACCTCCACTGGGGGATCATAAGTAAACAGCTGGCCAGCTAGAAAAACCAATGAAAAGCACTGTTATATACGGCTAGCTACAAAAATCAGTCAAAAGCAGTGTTATATACGGCCAGCTATATATAGTGCTCCCATGTCTTTATGATAACATCGTCCGCACCCGCACAGAACAGCAGGTTAAACCTGGGTGTTCAGTCTTATGGGTGGCATAATTATAACTTCTTTGGAGGTTGAACGGGCTATCTGGGATCTGCTTTGTTTGCCTGCCATCCAGGTTGAGATCTATTAATCTTAGGATGGTATGGTAAATTTTTCAATAACATGAATTGTGAGAGACAACTCACAATAATCTCAACCAGCACGCACGCACGCACACACATGCATGCATGCACGCACACACACACACTCACATGTGCATACGCACACACACAAAATTGTAATTGCTGACCTGTTTTCTTATTCTTACTAAATTACCAAACCATTTGATCTTATGTTCCTCAATTTATTTGCTGCATGCTGTTGTTCCTACAGTCTGTTTGATAACATCATTTCTAACTTTGTTTCAGATGGTTAAGCTGGCGGCTTTTCTCAGGCATCTCATTTCACGGGTGTTAATTTTACACAGATTAGACTTTGATAATATCCAAGTCTGGCACTGGTAGCACAGTGTTGGTATGAATAAGCTGATTATAATCTGGTTCTTGGTGCTTACACTTATGCTTGGATATCTTTTAATGATGTCAGTTGGCATATAAGTGCAGTGAGTAATGATTTTTCAAAATGGTTATCACCAGAGACATCTTCTGAGAAAGTCGCTGGGGCTGAAGAAGTTAAAAAAAAGTGTTACGCACAAACTGTCCTACCTGCTAGCCCAGGACGTAGACCAGGCTGCTTGCATCTCTCGTACTGCTGCAGCAAAAATCTGGGGATAGTTTCCACTGCTTTTCCCTGGCTGGATGCTACAGCTTGTCGTCTCAAAGAAGAGTAATACACCCCTCTTGGGAGATTTGCTACTTCTTTAGCAATCATTGCATGCATGCATTTTTGGAAACCTAAGAGAATTCAAACCACTGTGAATTTAAGTAATACGGATACAAGTTAAGTTGAAAGAATTCATGTTTTGTGTTTAGAAGTAATTCACCCGACCAGTTACTGTGAATCTGAACCCAACACCTTTGGCTTGACAGCCAAGTAACTAGTCACTGCACTACTGCCGCTCCTTAATTCGTTATAATTATGCATATAATAACTGTCCTACTACTAAGCATATCTACCAAGTGGTGGATGGTAGAGTGGATTCTAGATATAGACACTCACAAGAAATATTTGGAATAAGCGGCCATGGATCAAGACAGGTGGTGGATGGTAAAGTGGATTCTAGATATAGACACTCGCAAGAAATATTTGGAATAAGCGGCCATGGATCAAGACAGGTGGTGGATGGTAAAGTGGATTCTAGATATAGACACTCGCAATAAATATTTGGAATAAGCGGCCATGGATCAAGACAGGTGGTGGTTAGTGAGAGGAGACAAGTTAGTCAGTGGGACATTTAGCTCTATAGAAAACCTTAAAACTCCATGAATGGCAATTAGTGGGTAACCAGTGCCATTATACCCTCCCCCCCCCCCACCCCCCACCACCACCACCACAAGATACATATGTTTAGACAAAAGCGTGAGTAGTAAACCATACAAAAACTTGCTGAAGGCAAGAAAAAACACAGATGTACTTTCCCTTAAAAAAATCTTGCCCTTAAACAAATTATACATGCTGCTGAAGATTGCAGATTGTGGAGAGGCACGACCGCTCAGACCAGTTGGCATGGTACTTGATGATGATGATGACGATGATATAACACAAGCAAACATTCTGACAACATGTATCTTTCCTAAGGTAGCATATTAATATAAATCATGGACCATTTTATGATAGCCAAAGATGAAATGTGTATTTAATTTTTTTTGGAAAAATCTGAATATGGGGGTACTGACTTGTTACAAGCTCTGCATGTTACAAAAAAACTGACGTATAAAGAACAACATGTCTTAGAAAATGAAATGCCACAGTATTTTAGAAAGAACATTATTAAAAGGTATGTTTGTGGAAGAAAAGACTGGTGTAGACAAACAAGATGGTGAAAATAAGATATTAAAGAAATCCTGGCAAGAAAACATGTGTCAGATGTGCTACTGGCTAGACAGAAATGTGATTTCTTTTAGAGATACTTCAGTTAAGTGATTTTGTGTATTTTTGTTAGCATTTGTGGTATTGTAGATTAATTACCATGCTGATGAAGGCTCTCTAGCTGCAACATTCACTTGCCTGTTGTGTACATGATATTGTGAAGCTGACTTTTGATATAGTTTGAATGGTAGGATAATTGCCAAACAACTGATTATTATTTAAAGTGGATTGTGATGAGTTGCAAATATGAGGATAGTTGCTTATTCTTGAAAAGACATCTCAAACTACAGCATTTGTTGGCTGTGTGGGGTTTAACTTAGCAATTTTAAGTTCACTATTTATTTCGCCAATGCGTTCTGTACAGCAAATACCTGGTATTTTAGAATTATGAAACTTTGTTCCAATTTCCCTAAGATTACAGTCTGGGTTAATGTCTATAAAAACTAATTACCTGCAATGACCTCTACATCTGTTAACTGCTCTAACAGTAACGTGTAGCAGTATCCAGGAACCTGGGCAAACATCTGGTCTACATCGACACTGACAGTGCCACCACTTGCTCCAGACTCTGCCTGCTGTTGACTAGCTGCCAGCTGTGCCTGAGAGTACAGCTCCTCTGTCACCTGTTGTCATAAACATCCACTTTGAAAATATGCCCACCTGTGACTGTGCCAAAACATTTACATAAAATAAGAATAAGAGTACTGAAATGTTTATGCTGAGCCAGAACCAATGCTGGCTGCATGATTGTGAATCTTGGAATGTGAATGATAAAATCAAGAAGAACTTGGAGCCTGTGGAGATGCAGTTTCTGAGATGCATGCTGCAGATACTGTGGACAGCCATTTACTAACAACTTCTGACTAGCTGCCAGCTCTGCCTGAGAGTACAGCTCCTCTGTCACCTGTTGTCATAAACATCCACTTCGAAAATATGCCCACCTGTGACTGTGCCAAAACATTTACATACAATAAGAATAAGAGTACTGAAATGTTTATGCTGAGCCAGAACCAATGCTGGCTGCATGATTGTGAATCTTGGAATGTGAATGATAAAATCAAGAAGAACTTGGAGCCTGTGGAGATGCAGTTTCTGAGATGCATGCTGCAGATACTGTGGACAGCCATTTACTAACAACGACTGCCTGGAAATGGCTAAAGAAATGAGAAAACTATATAACACCTTTAAGAAAGAAGCAGTCAGTTTTCTTCGGTCATATGTTGAGAAGAGAGGTGTTGGAGAACATTGTGATGACTGGAAAGGTCAACGGTAGAAGATGCAGAGGCAGACAAAGTGAGATGATGCTTGACAGCCTGAAGCAAGGGCATGGTGGAATATCACCAAAGGAACTGATTCAAAATACTAAGGACCAAAATTTGTGGAAAGACATGAGCACCTACAATGCTGGGCAGGGCTCATGATGATGATAACGACTGGCCGAAAGACAAAAGACCAATGTGTGAATAAGCGCAAGAACATAAAAACAGCGATACCTCAGAATTTGAAAGTAATCCATTCTGCACAGCAATAAAATTCCAAATCGTTCAAGTTGTAAGGCAATTTTTTTCCCCATTGAAAAATAATGGAATCTAAATAAATTCTTCCCCAGGGTTAAACAAAATCATATTTTAATATTCAATTTAAAAAATACAGTACACTGTAAATAGAGTAACAAAAATACAGTACACAGAAGTAAAAGGAGAAAGAGATATTTATGGATTATTATTGTTTGGAAGGTGAGTCACCTTCCATGATAACATCAGGAATCCTTTCAGGTGTTTTAAATTGTAATCTAAAACCACATGGATAAATAGGATTGATTCACACAGCATGACTGTAGCCCTGACCATGACTGTAGCCATGATTGAGAAAGGTGAAAACAGGCATGCTTTGTGCAGAGTGGCAAGCGCCAGAGGTCACGGGCTGTTAGCATCCTTTGGATATTCTCTCCAGGTCATGCCAGCGTGTTGGGAAATGAGCAGGCAGATAGACTGGCTGGCTCTGCTCCACTTGGTGGTGAACGGATGTATGACAAGTTAGATATTGTGACGGCCCTTTGTAAGCAAGTGAACAGTGCGGAGGTGCAGATAGATCATTACGGTCTAAGGAGAATGTTGCTGCGAGGAGTTAGCAGGGGATCTGGTCCACGCTCAATATTCAAGGGAACGGCGAGAATAATATACAATCAGACACTTACTGGTTCCATTTCCGATTAAAAAGAGGTCAACAGATTCCGAAACAAGGAGAACAAACAGTATTTTTTAGTCAGAATGTACTCTTAATCTATAATTTAATGCTTGGGTTACCATAATAATTAGATTTGTATCTGAAGATTTATAAACTGCTTACGAAAACAAAACAAAAAATGTCCTTGGTTTTTTGTTCTTAAGCAGTTTTTAAAAATATATTTTATTTATAATTAAACTGACAAAATAATAACAGATTATTACAAATACTCAATTTAAAAATTGGTTGATGCCCCTCAAAATCTGCTCACGCTCCCTTGAAACCTTATCATGCCATCTCCCCCCCAACTAAGGTTGGGGACCCTGGGATAGAGGATATGAAGAGATTTGAAATACAAAGATAGTTGCTTAAACAAATAAGAAAATCATCATCATCTTTAGGTGCCTTGCCGACTGGCGTGGGCGATCATGCCTCTCCACAATCTGCGATCTCCTGCAGCCTGTGTCAGTTCGTGTGCTGACACACCTCCATGCCATGCAACAAGACTGTCAAGAATCTTCTCTCATTGTCTTCCTCTGTCCCTCTTTCCACAGATCTTTCCAGTGGTCACATGATGTTCCATTTTCCCTCTTCTCATAACATGGCCAAAATATGATGACTGTCTCCTTCTGATGTCTGTGATAAGTTGTCTAAGGGCTTCCGCCTCTTTCAAAACCTCTTGGCTGTTTTTTTTTTTTTTTTTTTTTTTTTGGCTGTATAATAAAAAAAAATAAAAAATAAAAAAGAAAGACAATTGAAATATTTCCGCCACATTAAGAAACATAACACTCTTTAAAAAAAAAAAGGAAGGTAAAAGGAAAGAAACAAAGAGGTAGATAATAATACAGGTGGGAGGACAACATCAAAGGAAAGATTTTACTACCGAGAAGATACAGAGATTGTTGGCTATCCATTGCAGCTAACTTACATTGTGGAGAAGGCACATAACTGATTGATAATAATAATATCAACATATTCTTTTTATAGTCTGCATCTGTGCACTCTGAGTGAACCAACTGCAAAATTGGTTATACAGTTTTCTTTACTTACGTCCTTTTCAGGACGTAATTTTTTCTTTTTTGAAGCCCCACTCTGGCTTTTGCCAGGGGCCGCAATATAGGCAGGCCATCAATATGGCCAATTGTCTGAACGCGGTTTCTGGGACCTCTCAACGGTGATCCTTGTCCGCATGGTGGCACTTTGTGTCATCGGGTGTTTATCGCTTGTGTGATGTCCTAGTGGGGTAGAAAGTCAGTCAGTAAATTGGTTATACTTCCCATCCTTTTCAAGATGAAATGTTTCGTTATTTGAAGCCCTATTCTGGCTCTTGCCAGGGGCTGCAATATAGCCTGACCATAAATATAGTCTAAAGGCTGAACACAGTTTCTGGGACCTCTCCACGGTGATCCTCACCCACATGGTGACATATTGTGTCATTGGGTGTTTATCGCTTGTGTGATGTCCTGGTGGGGTAGAAAGTCAGTCAGTCAGTCAAATCAGAGATAATGATCCTGTCGTCTCCTTCTGAAATGCAATGTTTCTCTAATTTGAAGCCCCACCCTGGCTTTTGCCAGGGGCCGCAAAATAGCCAGGCCATAAATATGGCCAAACGTGGTTTCTGGGACCTCTCCACGGTGACCCTCATCCACATGGTGGCACATTGTGTCATCAGGTGTTTATCACTTGTGTGAATGTTCTGATGGGGTAGAAATTCAGTCAGTCAGTCAGTCATTCAATCAGAGATCCGTGATACAGCTACAAGAACCTCTGACCTTTCTTGGCAAGTGGCTGACATGAAAGCATCCGGGGTTAAACTTGGCCAGGGCTGAGAAAGCTGCAGCACCAACCATCACATTGGTGCTGGCTGAGTACAACCACAAACTGCTTACAGCGTCTTCTGCAAAAGCCTGAGAAAGAAAAGGGGGCGGGGGGAGGGGTGATGTAGGAGAAGACTAAAATTCACAAGCTGACTTAGTAAACAATTTTATAAAACTGGATTAGGAATTCATGTTCTCTCTCTCTCTCTCTCTCTCTCTCTCTCTCTCTCTCTCTCTCTCTCTCTCTCTCTCTCTCTCTCTCTCTCTCTCTCTCTCTCTCTCTCTCTCTCTCTCTCTCTCTCTCTCTCTCTCTCTCTGTCTCTCTCTCTCTCTCTCTCGCTCGCTCGCTCAAGAGGGTCTTTTATTTTTACATGTAATAAGAATTATCCAAAATGCATAGGGAAAAATTAATAGGTTAAAAGTTTATTCTGTCTTCTTATAAGTGCAATGTCTATGCAGGTACTTTTGAGCTTAAATGCTATAGAAAGATTTTCAGAACATCTTGGACAAAGAAGAGGAGAAATACTAACATCTTGAAAGATTTGAACATCAAGGAAGATTGGCTTATAAACAGCATTCTGTCTCGGAAACTGAAATATTTTTGTCATATCAAGCGCCACGACGGATTGGAAAAAAAAAATAATGCCAGAAGGCATGGTACCAGGAAGGAGGGGCAGGGGTTAAAAAACACGAAGATGGGCACAGGATGTAAGTTACTCCCTGAGTATGAAAGTACATGAGGCGGGAGAGCTGGCAAGAGACTGAGTTTCTTTCAGGCAGACCATGATGAGAGCGACGTTCTGTAAAGGACCTGCTACATGATGACGATGATTATGCATGAACTATGTTAAATAAATATATAATTGTTTTATATTACAGAGGGACATAGCAATAGAATTACATTACCCGCAGAAGTCGGATGTGTTGGCCGAAAGGTGCAAATATAGCAGCCATGCTGTGAACGGACACAACGCAATTACATCTTCGGATGAATGCAGAAGAAGAAGAATTACATTAAACATGGATTCAGATTAATAGCAGGTTCAAGAGAAGAGGTAGAGGAGAGGGAAGAGAGGTGAAGACAAATCAGAAAATTCTATGTTATGTTATATTTTGCAATTGACATCACCGCACATTGAAAGGAGTTTTTCGCTCATGTTCTAATGAAATAATTATTTTAAAAAAAAGAGACCTTTTTCCATGTGTTAAGATGTTTAGGGCAAATAGGGCTTGACCTATATTTGTATAGACCAATCGACACAAGATGAGTGATGTGGTCAACATCACACCGGCCGCCTTTACTTTCCGGGCTGCACCTGGTACCCATTCAAGGCTGGGTCAAGCTGGGAGTCAAGGTCTTTTCTGAAAAAAGTGAGTTTACAGTCAGTTAACTCAATTCCTCCGAAGTCGGAGTACATCTGCCGGAGAGGCGGGGAACGAGTACTGCAAACAAATAAGTCAGTAAAACGGATGTACACGCAAAACTCAGGTCAAGGTAAAAGCCAAAAGTCCATTTTGTACGAACAACCGTGACTTACCGCCGGAATTCACAGCCGGTGAACAAGAAGAAGAAAAGAAGAAGTTAACTCAGAAGTGAAAACAGTAATGTGAAATGTACCTCATATTCCTCAGTCTCGACATTCAAATCAGGAACCAGGGACAACAGCTGACATATCCGTGTGATAACCAGAGGTCTGGCTTCATGCTTCAGCTTCTCACCGAGAACTGCCCACAGTGATCTCAGATCAATGACCTCTGCCTGGCACAACAAGCACAGACCCTCAAGAGCTAGCACAGAAGCTGCGGTGTCCCTCTCACTGCCGGCCAACTGCAGGATTTCTGAGAGTGGCGCCAGCAGTTCAGCGCCATGAAGTTCTGGCCTAGAAGAAGTTACATTATAGAAAATTAATATTTTCTTAAACGGAAAAAAAAACTGCATTCTCACTAGTTGGTCAAACTATTATTATTTTTTTGTCTGTCAATATCTTCTTCTTCTTCATCGCGTTCACCAGCTGTACACTCTGGCGGAAAGTTCTGGTTGCTCGTCCACTACTGAACTGCAGTCCTGCTCCAGAACCTGAGTGTTGCGTGTGCATCAGTTTTACAGATCTCATTCCCTTGAATACACACTGTTGGTTCCTTGCCTCTCCAGCAGATGCACTCCGACTTATAAAAGGAAGCTCCCCAATTAGTCGACTCTTACGACATGCTTTTTGGGAGGCAGTGGGTCTATTCTTGTTTCCCCCACAATGGGGCCCCGGAACCCACACGGGGGATAGATATGACTCAGATATGGTCTTATCCCAATTTTGTCTCTTAAGCTGATGTCTGTAACCTTCTCCCTTCTTGTGTTGTCAGCGACTTTATTGAGACAGCCAGCGCAATTTCCCAGGTGGTTATTTTCTGTTCTGTGCAGCTACCGACTAACAAGTAAAATTTAGAATTAACAACCCTAGCCATTAGCCATCTACAAAACAGCCATACCCAAGTGATCCTGACCTTAACTGTAATGTCAGGCTGTGAAATGCATGAAGAAGCCTATGGTACTACTTCTTAGGGTGGTGTAGGATATGAGGAGGAGGAGGAGGAGGGGGGGGGGGGGGTCCTTGAGTCTGAAAGATGTGGGACCTTTCGCAGTGTAGTTGTCCAGAAATGGGCAGGTTAGGATGTTTATAATAATTAATATTAACTCTTTCAGTATCAAATAACTAGGCATCTGTTTCTTGGTCAACCCAAAGAAAAAATAATACTCTTGCTGTCTTCTGTCACAGATATTATATTAACCCTTTGCATCAAAATTCTCATTCTAAGTACTTCTGTGCCATAGTGTCTATGTCGAACTTCTTTAGGCCTAAACATTAGTTATTTTTTTCTAAGCTCAAATATTTGAGACTGAAAGAGAGGTAATTCTAAATAATGAGGACCCACGCAATATACTGCACAATTTATTTCCTGCTGAATTTTGCTGTATCTTGTCAGGTGCAATACAGACGAGTTCACTTCAATATGAGGGAATAACCTGACAACTTAGCGACATCTGGAAAACTTGAAAACACAGCCAGGGGAGGACAAAGAGATAAATACCTTGATAGCTTGACGGCATGGCATAAACAATTTCATCAAGAACATAGACCTGATCTGAGATTCTAGTGACTGTGAGAGATGGAAAATCATGACTGACACACCAACACTTATGAACATAGCACACAACAATGATAACGAATTTTGTAGAATGAAAAACATACACACACTTAAAATATGACATTGGAATTTAATTACCATTAGCAAAGTTTCCAAACAGTATTCATTGCACTATGTATAGAAAAACATTCCTTTGTTGGTTCCGGGCCTGTATGATGGGAAAAAAGAACAGATCCCCCCCCCACACTCACCCCCCCCCCCCCCCCCCCCAACAAGGATGTCAAAAAAGTCGAATAATTAACGGTTTCCTTCAAAGCCAGAGTGCATCTGCCTGATAGGCAAGGAACCAACAGTCTGCACACATGTAAGCCAGACATGTAAAACAGATGTTTAAGCAAAAACTCATGTTCTGGAAAGAGACGAATGCCAAAAGTGGACGTACAACCAGAATTGTCTGCAGGAACTTGCAGTCAGTGAAAGCAAGAAGAAGAAGAAACATGCTACTAACTGAAAAACTAGACAATACTCACTTGTGCTTGCAGATCTCCAGTATAGCCGAAGCTTTAGCCAGCAAGACTTTATCTGTGTCTGAAGGATCCTTGACGTGAAGGCTGGGCTGATGAGGTTCACTGACAGCCTGAAGAAGCTGGGGAAAGCAGCGGTCCTGGCGCTGCCAGAGTAAAACCAGCAGTCGAATGGAGACAGCCTTGAGGTCTGGCGATTTTCCCAAAAGCTGGATAGTTTTCAAAACCGGCGACACACAGTACTAGAGTATTATAGAGAAAATAAAGACAAAATCTAAAGGATTAAAATGGCATTTCAAGGTTAGAAGATAAATTTCACTGCATCAGTGTTTTTTATCTATAGCAATTTTTTTCTCTATTTCTCTCTCATTCTCTGCAGAGTGACTAGTTGCCTAGCAGAGAATCACATAAAGCACAAACTCTGAAGCTCCAGTGACAACACCCCAGGAAAGAGCATTAAAACAACATGGCATTCCTAGTGTTTGACAAACAGTTTAACAACTTTATCATGGACACCTCCATAACACATTACGATTCAACACAAAAAGATACATCTTAGAAAAGAAATTATGAAGACCTAGTTTATTCCTTACATTCTCTATTCTTTACTGGTTGTTGTTGTTATCGATCCAGCGGCGCATGAGCTTTCACCCTTTGGCCCAGTGCCATGTAGTGGAATTTGCATGTTTTCACAAGCTGTTCTTTTCCTCTGTACAAGGTGTTCCACTTGTCTGGTCTCGGAGGGAGTGGCGTTCTTCTTGTCTCACTGAGTTCTGGGAACTCAAAGAGATGGTGTTCAACAGTTTCGTAGGGGTAGTTACATAGCTGGCACTCTGGGAGTGTTGTGGCTGTATTCTATACTCCATTGAGTGGAGTATGTTGCGTTCTAAGTCTGAAGATGGTGGCCTGGTCCCTTCTTGTTAGATGGTTAATGCTGTCATTAGGATCAGGGCCAGACATATGTCTATAAACCTCTCTTCCAGTGTCTCCCATGGCCCATCTGTTCAACCAAGTCTCTTTGTTTATAGCTCTTATCAGTGTTTTTGCTGTCTGGAGGGTTGTCGCTGTAGGTGGTTGTTCTTGTGTTGCTCCTTTCTTTGCCAATCTGTCAGCTCTGTCATTACCTGGTGTGCCGGAGTGACCTGGAATCCACTGCCTCACTATTCTGATGTTGTATGAGGTAATAAGCTGATCAGCATCCAGGATTATCTTGGCTATATCAGTTCTGCAGCGTTCACTGCCCTCCAGAGCTTGAAGGGCAGACATTGAATCTGTGAAGATGACAATATTTTGGACCTTTGAAGGGTAAACATCCATTACAGTCTTTAGGTGGTATACTGCTGTTTCCAGTGCAATTATTTCAGCTTCATAGTTTGTACAGAATTCCCCGCATGCATCAAAAATCTCTTCAACAGATCCATCGGGATAACCTATGTAGATTCCGTAACCTGCTTTAATGGTAGCTTTAAATGCTGATCCATCAGTATAGACATGTATCCATTCTTGGGGGTAAGAATCAACGGTCTTTAGTGATGAGTTCATAAGAGCGATTGGGTCGGACTGTTTGGTTTCCTCGCCTACCAATTTAGTTCGGACTTCTGGAGCTTTAAAGCGAGCATGTGGTGGTAGGTTTCTTGCAACATTCTGAATTCCTTGACGTCTTTCTGGAAGGTGGTATCTGTCCTGAATTTCATTAACACAGTGTAAAACCGATTTGTGCTTTATTCTTTGTTTGTATTCCCAGTTTTCTACAAGATGTCTGTTAGAATGGTTACGATTTTTCCTAACGCATCTTTCATAAATTTCTAAAGTGGCTTTTTCTCTCCGCAACCCGAGGGGTTCCACATTTGAATGGATTTCACATGCAGCAGTTGGTGTAGACTGCATAGCTCCGCAGATTAATCGGAGGGCATTATTTTGTACTCTGTCAAGAGTCTCTAGGTTAGTTTTGGAGCAAGTTGTAAGCAGTGAGTTGTTGTACTCTATCACAGAGCGAACATATCCTAGATATAAGCCCCTCAGAGTTTCCTTGTCTGATCCCCATGATGTACCTGCAAGTCTCTTTAATAACTGTAACCGCCTCAATGCCTTATTCCTGATGTTTTCAATATGGTTCTTGAGGCTGAGCTGCCGATCAAGTGTGACACCAAGGTATGTGGGATGCTCTTCTTTCATCACTTGGTGTTTGTCTAACCTCAGGTTAATATTCTTCCTTGCTACTTGGTGGCTTTTGGTAAAGATTGTGTAGACCGTCTTTGCACAGTTAACCTTGAGTTTCCATCTTTGGCAGTACTCATGCAGTCTTCTAAGGTCTCCATTCAGTCTTTGGGCTCCACTTTCCACATTTTCATGACTCTGCCATATTGCTAGGTCATCAGCGTACAAGGCTTTTTCGGCTTTGATTTGTTCTGGCAGGTCATTGATAAAGATTAGGAATAGTGTACAGCTCAATGATGAGCCTTGTGGCAAGCCCTCCTCCAAGACTTCTTTAGAAGAGATTGCGTTGTGCATCTTAGTCTGGATTGTTCTATCTATCAGGAAGTATTTCACCCAGTTATACAATCTGCCATGTATTCCTATGCTCATCATCTTCATCAGGAGACCTTTTCTCCATACTCTGTCATAGGCCTGCTGGAGGTCGACAAAGACTGCCACTGTGTGTTTCTTATTCTGGAAGCCATCATGTATTCTTTGTGTCACTCTGAACAGCTGGTCTTCTGTACAGTTGTTGGTTCTGAAGCCTGCCTGTTCATGGCATAGAACACCAGAACTCTCAGGGAACCAATATAAGCGCCTGTTTATCATTCTTTCTGCAACTTTGCCCAAGCATGATGTTAAGGATATTGGGCGGTAGCTTTTGGGGTCATCTGGAGGCTTTTTGGAATGGGGACGATATATGCATTCCTCCATGCCTTTGGAAGTTTGCTTGACCTCCAAGTTTTATTAATAAGCCTAAGAACTACTTCTCTCCCAGACAGGCCAAGATGTAGCAGCATTTCGTTGTGGATCTTATCTGGGCCTGGAGATTTTCTAGGTTTTAATTTCTTCAGGGCTTGCTCTAATTCATCCATGCTAAATTCATTTTCAAAAAGGGAGTCGCTGGCTGTTGGAGCTCTCTCTTGTTTCTTCAACTGAGAGAGCTGTGTTCTATTGAGTTCTGACAGCTTACCTGCTCTGTTAACTGAGGCAAAATAATGATTGAAATGTTCTGCTTTCTTCTTGTCTTCAGTGACTGTCTTACTCCCATCTGTCACTGGTTTTGGGTTCACCCTTCTACTTTCTCCGAAGAGGTTTTTAACTAAAGTCCATGCTTTATTTCCATTCTGTCTAAGGTCTAAGTTGGAGCAAGTTTCTGTCCATTTATCTCTTTTAGTCTTATTAACTACAAACTTTACTCTGGCACATGCTTTATTGTATTGGATCTTTGCTTCTGTTGAACGTGCAGTTTCGAGCAATATTCTTGCTTTATTCCTTTCAGTTATAGTATTTTGAATTTCTTGATTCCAAAAAGGTTTATATGCCTTCCGGCTGCCCCTTGGGATGGCTTTTGACGCTGCATTCAGGATTGCTTGTGTAATGTCTTCACAAAAAGTTTCCACACAGCTGTTGTCAATTCTTCCCAGGAGGCAGTCAGATGTTTCCTGAAATAGTTTCCAGTTTGCTTTTCGGAAATTCCAACGGGTTCTCTGCTTGAAGCGTAATTTAGCGGTGGTGCTTACAGTTGTTTGTGGTCACTTCCTATGTCGTCCAGGACTTGGGGATAGCTTGCGTCTGTTAAGTCGGATGAGCAGATGGTCAGGTCTGGTCGGCTGAGAGATAGGTGGGCCCTGTGTAACAGTGTAGGTGTAGACTCTGTCCTGCAGCACTAATAGGTTAGTTGTTTCACAAGTATCTTCGATGTATTTCCCTGTGCTATTGTAGTCAGGGTAACCCCAACGTGGCGAGTGTCCGTTGAAGTCACCAACAAGAAGGGTTTTATGGTACTGTGTCTTGTATAGTTCTGGTATGTTGCATGTTGTCTGAGGTGGGCTGTACACGTTGTATATCGTATATTTGCTTCCATTGTGCCAGATAGTTATTTTTTGCACATCTGTAGGGTGAGATGTCCTTAGCATTGTTACATCTCCTTGTATGTCATTTCTGATATAGGTCACTATGCCCCGGCAGTCATTTCACTTACAGGCATAACTAGTATATCCAGTGAGATGCAGATCAGTCTTTATGCAGGGTTTCTTGTAGGGCAGCCACGTGTACCCTGTGGTTGTTTAGCAGTTTGGCAAGTTCAAGTTTCTTATTTCTTATTCCACAGATGTTCAGCTGCAGAATATTGAGCATCTGTGTATTTTTTGCTGTGCTGTCTGAGTTCTCTTTGCTCTCCCTCCCACTCTTCCTCCTCCTGGGGTGTCTGATTTTCCTATTTATTTCAAATTTTCCAGTAGCCAATTTTTCGCACATGACAGCCTGGTTTCCCACTGTCTGGCGTGGGCCTTGATAGACGAGGCGACGACCAATCTCGTATGTATTCTTAAATTTTGACATATTCATGGCATTGTGGTGCTGGGGTGTCTGTGGATTACCTACCTCCCTGGGCAGCAGCTAGAAATGCCCTGTACCAGTTCTAAAGGAAATATGGGTTGTGTTTCTGCCTTCCCCTTTTTACTGGTTAAACCATATTATTTTTTTGCCTCACCTAAAGTAAAAGGTTAAAGTTAAAGTGGAGAAGATCAACTTCATTGCACAAGGTTTTAACCCACATGGTTTTGTCTCTCTCCGCAGAATGGCTAGCCGCCTGCTGAGAGCACCGCACAAAGCATGAACTCTGTAGCTCCTGTGGTGATCCTCATGGATCTCTGTAAAAATTGTATTCGTGAACTCAAGGGCACAGCCGTGAAATGAAACCACGACCTTCAGATCGCGAGGCAAACGGCTTGACTACTTTGCCTTAGAGACCCCCACCTCATCTTCTGACATATTAAATGGGAGTTTGTATGGCAAAACTATTCAGCCCTGTTCTTTACACTCTGAATGTTGTGGTTTCAATTCTGCACACCAAGTCTTCAGTTTCCAAGTGCAGATCTTTAGGAAATCTCAAGGGTTAGTCACTGGAGTACTGGAGCTTTGTTTGTTGTTAAATGTTTTGGCAGGTGAACAGCCCCTCTAAGGCAAGAGACCAAGCTTAAGGGAATAAAACCTCTTGCAGTGAAATTGATCCTAGCATCTTTAAACATCCTTTGACAAATTA